AGCACTCGGTGACCGCCAAGTTGCATTAGATTATTGGGGCTAATGGAATCAGCTTCTAGCCATGCTACATGTATGAGATACGTCTATTTCAATAATGCAGATAGATATAGGCATATCTAGAGCCTCAATATCGAGAAGAACAACAAAAGCGATAGTAATTATGTTTCGTGGTATATGGGTTAAGAAGTTAGATAGTGTTTATAATACTCATTTCATCTTTACTTCCCATGATAACAATTACAATAATGATAGTGATAATAAATAATTATGATGATGATAATAATAATGATAATAATAATGATAATAGTAAGGATAATAATAATGATATTAATGATAATGATACCATTGATAACTGATAACACATTAACATTTACATTAACAATAAGCAAAGATTAAATACACAGAATTCAAAGAGACATTTTGTTTACGTCTATCTCTCCATACTCAGGAAATAATAAAGACTTATGTTCATGCCAAACTCAAACACTTTCATTGTGTTCTACTAAAGTGCGTTAGCCATAAGGTTTATGTACATGTGCAACACGTATCAAGTTGATCCCCCGAGTTGGTTGCACAGTCACTTCTCGGTATCATATATGTATTGTATAGATTAACGGGGCTCTGATTTTCTGTTAATTGCCTTTATCTGGAGATGAGAAAATACGTAAATTTTTACATTTTTACATTTAGGCCATTTAATGTGCAATATACAAGATAGGCACGATGTTGTGAAATATAATGAAATCATCATGTGAAATATCATTTTGCATAAAGTGTAGGTGAAAACTGATACATTATCTTAATAATCATATGATATATATATATACATATTTACAAGAATACAGTATGTTCTTACACACGTTATACCTCAACTTTTGCAATCACACAAGTAGCAATCAAAGATATTTTAAAAACTCGATAAAATACATTGTTTTGTTTATGTATACATTTATTTCATGCTAAGGCCATCGACCAACTCGCTCTATCGAATATATATCTAATATAGACATGAAACCCGTTTCTTCAGCGACACATGTTTAAAGTTGTATACATGAATCATGTACATTGCACCATCCCAATAAATGTTGTACAAATTCGAATTAATTGAACTGTCATCTACCTGTTTCTGACTAAAATATTAAAAAACATTACACCAGTTCACAAAGGCCACATGCCCGCTAGCTTCAGTACTTCTTCCATATTCTGTAGCCCACCGCCTGACATATTATGTAAAGTAAGTTAAGAGAAATTCTAGGACAACTCGCCCCTGGACTATCAGCCCTGGACAAACACCTACGGAAAACTATACCTAGGACAATTAATTCCGGACAACTACGCCCTAATTGTACTCTCCCTGTGGTTAGTTGGGCGAGAGTAATTTTTCATGGGGACATAGTCCGGGGGAAATTGTCCTAGGGGAAGTTGTCCGGGGTATATGTCCACGTGTCCGTGAAACATTTTTTTTTCAGGGGTAGTTGCCTGAAGAAAGTTGTCCAACTACACAAAGGAATAACCATTTGATAGTTACAAATTCACTGTTTTTCATTCCCTTTGTGCAGCAAGATTATCAAGAACTTCTAATCATGAGCTGATCTCTGACCTGGTATTACAACATCAAACTGCACAGGAAAGTTATGCAATATTCAATTTCACACTTTGCAATTGAAACAAACAATTTTCATTTCAAGTCCAGGAGTTTCACAAGACTGACTGAAATGTTGACGTGACATAATCATGCAACGTCAGATGTGACCGTCAATAAAGTGATATATTCACCGTCATATACGATAAGAAAGAAGAAGAATCATGTAAATGGTAACAAACTTCTTTGCAAGTTTCTTGTTAATAAAGTCTCATTGTATTTCACTGATTAGAAATTTGATGAAAAAAATCATCATCTTTCGATAAACATTTGTTCTTGCTCAGCGATTTTTAATTAACTTTATGTATTCCAGTACTTGTTTAAAGGATAAATCTGTTTAATTTGAAAATTTAGTTTGAAAATGTGTTATTCACATAATGAATAGTACGCGAAATTTGCCCAGCATAGCAACAACTTATATATATAAAAAAAAAAGGATTCCATCTATACAGGTATGGCCGTACGCAACAGCTTAAATAAATAGTTTATTTCTAGTCGCTCTACGAAAGATATGACCATAAAACTTGAATAAGTTACCACCTTCCCACACAGTGAGCAAAATAGATGCACCATGTACACGTAGTGACTCCAATGAAAAGATAAAGGAAATCTAGTTACTGTAAAGAATTGACTCCCAATAGAACAACAACTTGACCTCCTCCCAAAATCACGTAAGCATACAGCTGTAAATAACCCTGGCGCAGGCATTTTTTATGACGCAAAGAAAAGTTATTAGTAAAGAATCTTTTATTTTTTCATTTCCGCCTTTTTGCCCCTATTTCCCTTGTGGGTTTTACGCAAGGAATTTTTCTAGAAGGAAGATTGTAAAGAAGGTCGTGTTCGGGGGAGAGGTGAAGAACATCGGAAAAAAAATTTACCTGGAAAGTTAGGCTCTTCAAATGCCTTTATATTCTAAACATGACAAGTAACAGCTTAAAAATGAAGCCCGATCTTTATGCCACATGTTTTTGTAGTCCAATAAACATCTTTCTGTGTACAGTGCTTGTTACTTTACCAAGACTGGGCTAAATTTCATATCATTTTAAAGAGTCCAGGAACTTGCAGTACACACCAACCTTGTTCCTCTTCAGCGTATCCAAAATGCTGCCGCTCGTCTAGTTACCCGCCCAAGACCTTATGAACATATTACTCCAATCCTTCGCAATCTCCACTGGCTGCCAGTAATTCAACGTATCCAATTCGAAATTCTTCTCCTTGCCTTTAAAATCCGTAACGGTGAATGCCCCACGTACCTTTCCAATCTCGTAAAATCCAAACCCCGTCCTCCAGGTTACGTGCTTCAACTTCCTCTCACTTTCAACTAATTCCTGGCCCTCGTGTGAAAACAAGATACGGTGATAGAGCACTTTCTGTAGCCGCCCCCAGCTGTGGAATAGCCTCCCGTCGTACAGTGTACATCCAAAATGCTCCTTCTATATCGACTTTCAAAGTAATGTTAAAAACCCATCTGTTCAAATCCATATCATGAATTTTGTCTTCTCTAAACATGTCATATAAATAAATGATGTCGTACTACTATTTGTTATGAAATAAGTCATCTTTAGCATAATTTAAGTAAGATTAAGTTTATTTATTCATTTATCTGTAACAAACTGTAATTTTGTAACGTAACATAGCATAACATACTGTAATTTTGTACAGAATAATATTGTGTAATCGTGGTGCTGTCCACCCGGCTTTTATTTCGTGTAAGGAAATTGCTTCACTTAATGGCTGCTGGAACAACAGCACCACAGCGCCTAGAAACAATGTATAAGGCGCGTTATAAATGTGATCTATTACTATAATAATAATTATTATTATTATATGCTACATGATCAACCTTTTCTGATCGATGCCACATCGTTTCTTTCACAATGCAATCGCATGACCAGAACTCATCTTTATCCTTAAAGATATAATATCCCTTCAACAGCTCCTTCAGCAAAAACATTATTTAATCTGTATTTTAGAACCACCATTTTACCATAAATTTTCCCTTGGCGGTTATACGCAAGGGGCATTCCTAGAAGGGGCTGGTTTTTGAGGACGTGACACCCATTTAATCAGTTTTTTTATCTGCAACATCTTCGGCAAAAATGTAAATTTGGGACTCCCATTTTTCTCCTTGTTGGTTATCCGCTAAGCGATGTTTCTTGAAGGAGATTGGTTTCTAGGATGTGACACCCTATTCATCAGATTTTTCCCTCTTTTTTCCGAGACGATCAACGGTAATAATTTAAATTTGAGGCCCACATTTTGCCCTCAATTTCCATTGTGAGGATATGCCAGGTGCGTAGCTAGTATGAGCTTTATTTGAAGACCGTCTAAATTTTGTTGGCATTTTCTTAAAAACAAATATTAAGTCTTTTATGTCGATAGCTTTCTTCTAAGGTGTCTGAAATAAAGATTTCAATTAAAATTGCATACAAACTTGAATATTCTATAATTCTTCGTTGCCGAAGAGAAATATAACATGTGAGATTTGTCGCTATACTGCCTAGCAGTCAGTAACAAATTTCATGCCTACAATTTTGACCAATCAAAGGCCTATAATTTGATATGCGGCATATATTACAAGGACTATATACAACAGCAAATTAGATTGTTTTGCTTGTAGTTAAAAAACGTTGAATTTTATAGATGAATTCTGTTTAGATACATGCAATAATTGTATGTACATATATAGTACGGGGGTAAGGTCTGAGTGGCAAACGCCATGACACCTATGACATTTCCCTAATAATAAGGTATGGGGGCACGGTGGGGCATGTGCCCCCTAATCGTATGACAAACACAATAAATGATATAAGAAGATGGATTGCTCGAAAACGGGATACTAAGTAGCTTCATATATACAGCATAGTATATCCGCATGCGATAATATGACGATATTCGAGCACCTCTTTTCACGAATGTCGTCATGATACGGGCAGCACGGCGCCCAAATCCAACTTATTTATCGTCATTTATATCGAAGTGAAATTTTGCCAAAATAACAGTGCATTTTTCGTTCCCTCAAAATTGATTAATCGGGATGATTTCTGGCAACGAGATTCCGGAATATATGATTCTACATTTTTTCTAGTGTACAGTGAAGTGTGGATAACTTTTTTGTCATAATAAAAGTGACTCTTTTCGCTCGCTCGCAATAGTTGAGATCCGGGTAGTATATTTTCGGGAAAGATGCCCTACACGGCCCTCTCTTGAAAATGTGAAAGTACATCTATGTATACGAGTTATCGAAACTTTCTAACTCCAACAAGGGTGCCGTAACCACAACAACAATTTTGAAGAAAAAAAAACACTGATGTAGTAGACTAGAGACTGGTGCCCCCCCCCCCCAATGACTGAGCTCATGCTTTGCAGAGACATCTATAAACCAAAAATAAAAGTAAGCGATCAAACGAAATGCCCTAGACTTTTAAGATAATCTGCACTGTCGGATATGCCTCATCACTGTGACGCATTCACGCCTGAACTGAACGTTGACGAAACTGTAGATGAAGGGATTGATCACCTGGTTGAGATTCACAGCGAATAGAGAAACGTAGAAGAAGTTGTATTTCACTGGATCCGTTTGGAGCCAAGTGAACTTGATGTTTGGGTAGTAGTCCCAGATTTTGGTCGGGATCCAGGAGAGGAAAAATATGACGGTGATGATGAAGATCATGACGGTTGTCTTGTTGTTTGTCCGGATGATCGCGGCTGGGGCAACTGCCTTTGAAGGCTTGGCCATTGCACCGTGGCTAACGCTAACGCTCCCACCAGGAGTAGGAGGAGGAGGAGCGAGATGATTTCCAGCAAAAACAGGTCTACCTTGATTAGAATTAGGCTCAACAGAGAGAAGGTCGGAGGCGTCGCCACGTCCTCCTGCGGACTGGTCCCTTGATGCCCCAGCCTCATCGCTGGAGGACTGGTCAACGGTCTTCGCAGCATAGTTGCTCTGAACCTGTGCCTTGTGCCCTTCAGTCGGGCTCTTCGAATTCGCACCTTCCTCACCCGCCCAAGCTTCGGATGGCATCACGGAAATCTGCGTTGGTCTTACGTTTCCAGATATACTGTTGGCACCACCCAGTTTCTCCACGCGGACCCTGGCCCGACGACGTACCGCTATCCAGATCAGGGTATACAGGAACGTGATCAGAGCCAGGCAACTGTAGAACAGAGTGTCATTTAAGTAGGCAATGATTTGAGCATAGGCAAGGTTATCGTAAATGTAAGAGCACTTGGAAACGGCGGGACCATAGGTCGCGATGCCCGTCTTTGAAACGGACGGTATGGCGCAGAATGCTGCCAGGACGGAGCAGGTCGAGATGATGATAACCGCCTGTTTTGGGGATACTCTTCGCTTCAATGGTTTACACACTGCGATATAACGATCAACCGTGATGACCGTTGTCAAGAACGTCCCAAGATAGGTGCTCCAGTAGATGATGAAATGCATGAGCTTACACAGGACGTCATTTGTAAACTGTGATGTTATGTAAGAATATATCTTTAGTGGGAAACTCGTGCAAACGATGAAATCGACTATGGCAAGTCCAAGAATGAAGACGTCTGTTCCTGTTTTACGATGCTTCTTAAGATAGACGATGATGATGAGGCCATTCCCAGGAATTCCCAGTACCATTAAAACACTGCGAATCAACACTGCAAGTATGTATCTTAGAGCCAACATGGTGAAATATCTTCCATGTATTTTACTTAAAGCATTGCAGAAGATGGTACGTTGTCGTCAGCAGATACATCATTTTTTCCAGCTCCCAGTTTTTAGTAAACCGTTCTGCGAGTTAACTTTAGCTCGTGTGAAAATATAATCTCATCTTGACCGAGTACAACATGAACAGCATTGTATCAAGGAAAGTCTTGCTACAAACATAAATAGTCTGTTCAACGTTTGTCAATATTTGCCCATCGTGGGGTTCAAGTAGATATCCATGCCATGAATTGTAAAGGCCAATACATTTTACTGAAACATGCTCACAAAACCTATATTCGTACTAAAAGAGATCAGATGCAAGTTACCAAAATTATGTCGCTTAGCAAAACAAGCGTAGTGAGTTGTTCAACATCTTGAAGATGAATGAACATGGTGAATGATTCCAGCGATTAAACTCTCATCACCTCGACTGACAAATATCCATATATATTTTCAAGCTGTCGTGTGGATGCTGGCGCAATTCTAAGACAGCTACTTAAAATAACATGACTGAGCGATAGGAAGAGCCATGCTCTGTTTCGATCTTTCTCTGATTCCTGCGCAGATAATGTTTACGTGTTGTTTTTATATGACGGGGAAAGAAACCATCGGTAAAAGAAAAGCCAAGCGTGCAACTGTGTGTGGGAAAACCAGGGTGATCGGTGCTTTTCGAAGGTTGCGTAATTGATGGGAAAGAAGACGAAATGCTAATGACATTATCACACATTACACAAAGGAGAGCGTTCAGGTCTTTATCAACCCATCATGGTGTTCTCGTTGGCATTGTATGTTTTTGAATAAGCGTTGGTGACTAGATGATGAGGTATACAAAAATCAAAGGCACATAATGGAAACTGAATGTATAATTTAGTCTTCAACTGAATAAAGGAAAAAAGGAAAAACACAAATAAAATAATACCACGAATCCGATCATAATTATCTACATTGTACATCCAATCACCATGCTCGCTACATATATCATGGCTGTATTTAGGCCACAGGCATAGTTGTGATAATGCTATGTATATAAAATGGGTATCATATCAGTTTTTTTTTTTTTTCAAGTGCTTTTGAAAAAAGAAATCTTATTCGATTCATTAATTTTTGTGTAGATCAGTTCAATTCCATCCAAGGAACTATGCAGAGAGTATCACCCCCCCCCCCCCACTTTCCCCTTTTTTCCTTCTCACTATTACAGCTCAAAGGGACACATTTGTAATGAGGTGAGTGTGGTATACATTTTTGCTGTTACTATTTTGTTAAAACTTGCATCGTATGTTCCTTACTTCTGGTAACATTGTTCAGATGAGAGAAAATGGTTCTAAGGTATTGACTTCAATGCTAGATGTACAATTAAAGATAATCTGAAAGTTTGAGTGAAAACGAACCATTATTAATGATACACATAGGAAAAACTGATCTGATCGATTCCTTAATTCTCCTAACTATAATAGGTGAATGTAAATCGTAACAAAGCAACGAATTGGCTCTTATACCATTCCAGACATTGAAGTGTTGAAAGATTTTAAAAAGCATGTCTAATGTCTTATTTTCATGGAAAAATGTTTGGGAAAATTCAAAAAGAAAAACCATAAATATCTTTGTGGTTTGAGAATTTGTCAGGATTTTTAGCGGGTTAGTACAGTAAAAGGAATATAATAAGTAACATTTTATACAAAATTACGCAGTTTTTTCATCGACCTTCAACAATGTTACCAAGTCACTTTTAACCATAGGAAATGGATGCCAAATGTGCAAGGTGTCTTTGATTTCTCTATGTAGTTATAACAATTAATTATTTTTCAAATAATTGACAGCGATTTCTATGGGGAGAAATGCTACATTAAGCAACCAATAAGGCTTTTACCCGAACATTTGGAGTGCGTGTTGGTGATTATCATTATTTAATTGTTCAGAAGCTATGGGGCAAACATACACCAAGATTATCAACAAAAACCTCGATTATATCACCATTCGTTTTATTTCTGAATGTTATTCAGTCGTTTTAATTAAGAACTTAATTGTGCATATGCAGACTGATTCTTGCAACTATAAGCTAATTTTCAGCCCTGGTAATGGCATCGTATGTCGTGAAAACATGGTTATATATAATTCATTCTGTATCGTTTATCCTGCAGTAGATTGATTGTTTGAACCAGCAAAATAAAAGCAACCTCACAAAAACTTCCTGGAAATCAAAGGCAAAGAAAAGAGCTAGTGTATAGAGCGTCGCTATGGGAACAAACTTTGCTCATTCGTGCATTCTACATTTCTTGGCCTGAATTGTCAACAAAACAAATACATTTTCTGGTTTTAAAAAACACAAGCATTTATTTTAGGTGAAAATAAGGGAATAAAAAGGGGGTAGTCAAAGATTTTTTAAAAAAATAGGGAAAGGGGAAGAAAGAGGGAGCGGATTGGCGTCTGGTCGGTTTTCTATATACTGTTCCCTTTTCCTGAGATGATTCGAAAATTATTCGTAGGTAATGATAATGATAATAACAGTGTCATAATATGACAGTCTTATTAGTACCCAATTGTTGTCCCCCAGTATTGCCAGTTACCTATTTAATACATCAGGTAGGCCTACATTCGAACTACTCTAGACCTTACCGAAATTAAATCATCTCTCTTCGAATCCAAGCTATGCCGAGATCAATTCATTTCACGGCAGCAAGTGGAGGGGGAAGAAGATAAATAAAGATGGGGGGGGGGGGGAGTATGAAATTGACATTAAAGCTTTAGAAAATTGTATTCCCACAACTTAAATCACTGCATACAATGCGTCACTGACGTTCGACTGCGTCAGCGAATTGCATGGTCTTGCGTCTCATGTGCAACGATCGAGACATAAGACACGAGACGTCAATATACACGTAGTAATGTTTTGTTTACTGCGCATGTCGAAATTAGGTATGGAAAGGATGTATTGCTCAACTCATTTTATAGTAGCACTTGTCTATCTTTTATGCAATTAGACGACATGAAATGCATTGTTCATATACAGTGGCCGTCATCATTTGAAGCATCCCTCTGATAATATTATGAGTATTCCATTTGTTTTACCAAAGCATTTATCATCAACAAGGGAGAGGGGGGGGGGGTGTTCAAAATGACACAGCTCATATCCCTGAATTTATAATCGTTTGTGAAATAACGCTTTGCGGAAACAACGAAGAGGAGTGGCCCTAGTACTGAACATCAAAGTTTAAGGTAATCAACTTCCGTACGTGCAGCACAGGACGTGTGTTTAGACAAAGATAACAATTATACATAAATTGATGCCATTCTATATTAACATGCTTTTGTTACGAGGTATTTTTATACATCAAATGCATCTACTACATCGCCATCGAATAGACGGTCGAAATTGAATTTAACCTGAGGCAATTCCGATAGCCTTGTCCATCAGCTCAACGTGTGACCATTACAATGATGTAAATGTAACCCGAACATATTTACTATAATGATTTATAATGATTTATCGAAAGTCTTAGCGACTCTGTTCCATCCACGAATAGGAATAGCAATGCTTTATGACGTGAAGAGGTCCAGACAGATTGACTTTACACACTGGAGTCATTTTTACATATCGATATTGATGCCAAGACACAAAAATGAATAGCACGTGTCTTGAAATGAATTGGAAATGTCCAGATTTACAAAAGATGGAGCGCTAGACAAGTAATAACTTTATAATGACTATTTGCTCGCCAGTTTGTTTTATTAGACCTGGGGTATTTCACAAAGATCCTAAGTCAAACTTAAATCTAAATTGGACTTAAAAATTATGGAGAGCTATTTGTAGTCTTGAAATAAATATATTCAAAAGCGAAAAATTAAAGTTTTTTTTAGATTTTTCATAAATTCTACATCAAGAACATGAAATCTCCCATGATAATAGAAAATTTGAATGATTTGAATCAACATGTTAAGCCTTTTGAAATAACTTTTACAAAATATTTTCATAGATGCTAACGGCTTTCCATAATTGTTAAGTCATACCTAAAGTTAAGTTTGACTTAGGATCTTTGTGAACCACCCCCTGTACTGTTTTTAAACGATAATAATTGCATCATTTGTTCTTAGAAATGTACGTGTTTTCATATGTTATTCTAATATCCCCTTTCACATTCCTATTTCGTAAATTACTATTTGCTTCTGGTTCCTCAATATAATGTTTACATCTAGACTTCGTACATGCATTCCTATAGTCAAATAATAGTTGACCTTCTGAATTATTGTTTGGTGTAACTGCTCACGTATGTGCAATATTCAGTATGATGTAAATATACTGGGAGTAGCAAGTGCGGGACACATGCCCCCAGGCAACAGTGTTGCATTTCACTTGTGTGCACCCTGATCCACTTATTGCTCCCATTCCTTTAATTTGTTTTCATATTAATATTATGCTATTTACTTTTGCCATTACTTTTTTATTTTTGGTCAAATGAATAAATAAATAATAATAATGATAATATTATTATTGATGTAAAAAGTAACTTGTGGCCCAAAAGTCTAACATTGAACTGACTTCATAAAGATTTCATCCAGATTTGATTTACAAGAACAAACTTCGTGCATGTCGAGTGAATGCATCAGTATTATTGAATAAAAGAAAGGTTCGTTAAATAAATTATGGCCTTGTCAATGCACAGTGAAAATCTATACCTACTACAAAAGCCGAGAGAAATTAATCGTGGTAAATTGATGACGCTGATTTTGAAAAACAGAGTATATTATTGTTATCACGATGACAACGGATGCACTCTATGCAATTAGAAAGAAACTAATCGCAGCAAATTGATGGTAGTGATATTAAAATCAGAGTGCTGTATTTTTAGCATGAGGACAATGTATACCCTCTATGAAGCAGGAAGATATAAATCATAGCAAATTGGTGATTGATAGTGATATTAAAAACATTAAATGTGGTATTGTTTGCATGAGCATGACTGGAAGAATACCCTTAAGTCAACTTTAATGAGAACACCAATCATTAGCCAACATTTCCAGTGGCCGAATAAACCGATTCACCCTTTGTGAAACCAATTTTGTAAATTCTTGTGTTTTTACAATGAAACTGAAACTCCTAACCGCCAATATATTTATAAAGAGAATTGCGATCCAATTTCAGCCTGGGGAAATTGTGTGGTTCAAACTAACCCTACAAATTCGTTTAAAGGTAATACAAAGTTTTGGGAAATTTTGAAATTGGGTGGATGGTGATTCTTTACAATTTTTATATAATTGATACCTCTGTGGATGTATTATAAGCACTAAAAAAATAGCCCATTAAACACTTCTGCTTTCGAGAAATATTGAATATAAAAATTTACCGGTGCTCCCGGTAAATTTTGATAAATTTTAAATAGCGCCTAATAGGGCCGTACAATGGTAGCTACGACCATGAAAATCTCAGAATATGTAGTTGTGATAAATAATTTCCTAACAGGAATAGCTAATTGTTCGATTTTAGTCAAGAAACATTGTTTTATAGCTTAATTAATATCTAGACCTTGAGAGAGAGAGCTATACAGCGTAATGAGTTTATTATTACAATTTCATAACTTTCGACTCGATTTTAACCGCGACAACGATCGTTGAATATTGTAGGATCACATATACTTCCAATATGTTCATTTGAACCAAATTCATGACCCTATACCAAAACTTTGTATTACCTTTAAAGCTATTGCCTTTTTATTCCAGCGTATATTTGTATCGTGCCCTACTGTAACAACATAGCTTTTAATTTAAAATTTCGTTTTACTTTATTCCAATTAAGGACGAAGCTTTACATATCCTATGGGTCGCTTCTCTTTCTTTCATGAATCTTTTTCGAAGCTATTTAATTGCCTATATACTGTATATATACCGCACCATTAATCTGCATCATCATTGTTAGCATTGAATTGTTCTAACCAGCATCAATCATTTATAAGCTGATGACGTTTATATCGTTTGACACCTTCTTTTGTTCATTAATGGGGACATGTACGATTCTTTTTCTGTAGAAAAAATGAAAGCATATTTAAAGAGATAACCGGGATAGATTAAAGTATTTATACTTTTGTTATCCCTCCATTTCGTTTTAGTGTAAATGTATCATTTTGTAAACTTATCATTTTGTAAACTTTTATTTTCATGTTTTGTGGAAAATAAATTCAAATTCAAAACTCAAAAATACAGTGTAAATTACAAATTGTTTTCACCACAGAGCAAACATGGGAGAGAAGCTTTAAAAAAATACGTCAATTTTCCAATAGTTCCCAATTTGTGTTTGATTGATTAAAACTTTTTAAAATTCGGATTTTATTGAAAGCAGCTCGAGATCAGGATGGAATCCTCTTTTAAAAACAAGATACAAATGTCACTATACATTTTTTAGTATGCCTGTTGTACACAAAGCGTCATTTCACTGTGTTTATTCCTGCGTCAATTCAGCATGCGACGGCGATTAGTGAATACGCCAGATATTCAAAGCAATATGTCCACTGTACATTTTCATTTGTCCATTCACATTTAGACGAAGCCAATTCCACACGGAGCGTCAAAAGACTGTGCAGATCGCTGACGCAGTCGTACGTCAGGCTCTTAGGGACTTTTAGATTTGCACGACGAGAATGTGGACTGCGACATGTAACATCCTTTTAAGGCAATGCGATGTCCTTTCAAGGCACGTTCACGTTCACGTTCTCGTCGTGCAAATCTAAAAGTTCCTATTGGCGCATTGTGTGCAATGGGTTGTAATGATGTCTCCATGCGTCATGCCTAACTTAGAGCCAATATTGAGTTCTGGTATGGTAGCGTTCCATTAACGAAACTAACTCGAAGTAATTCGGATCATTTTAACATGCAGCAAGTGTGTTTTTGAGACCAGCGTTTTCCAACTCTTTGTTGTAGTCACGGCATCCTTTTAAGATATAAACAGTTTCGCGTCACCCCGATCCCAAAGTCATCCCGTCATGCCTTCCTTAAAGCCAATATTGAGTTCTGATATGGTAGCGTTCCATTAACGAAACTAACTCGAAGTAATTCGGATCATTTTAACAGGCAGCAAGTGTGTCTTTAAGACCAGTGTTTTTCAACCCTTTGTTGTAGTCACGGCATCATTTTAAGATATAAAAAGTTTCGCGTCACCCCGATCCCAAAGTCATCATAGAATAGTAAGTTTCCATCACTCTGTCACTCGTCAAGTGCCGTGTAAACACGTTAGGGCACATTCGCGAGCGAGGAAGAAAAGAATGCTATTTACTATTATGGCACAAATGATTGTATAATCATCACATACTTAGATAGGAGATAAAACAATGGATGTCAGCACCTCGCTGCTAAATATAAGAATACAAATTTCATATTCATCTCGATACAGGAATATGAGAGTATTCAAGCACCTCGTTGCCAACAATTTTCTGCTTCTAAATATTGCGTGCAATTGAAGCGGAGGAGCGTAGTAAAAACTAATTTCGATATGAAAAATATGTCAAGTTGGATATCGGGCACCTTGTTACGCAAGGGGGCGTTTTACAAAACTTGTCATTAGTGACAAAGTTTTTGTTATAAGCTACTGAAATCCTTGCTTCTGATTGGTTATCAGCAGATTTGTCACTGACTTTTGTCATTTGTCATTGAAAAAAGGCTTTGTGAAACGCCCCCCTGATATGAAGGTATTTAGGCACTTAATTGCCTAAAATAATCCTGATTTCTTAATGTTGCGAGAGATCGAAGAGAGCGAGGAAGAAAGATGTGTTGTTACCTTTGACATTTTATTTCTTTATGAAAATACAACGCGGTTTTTGATAGATATTTTTCACGAAATTAACCTTATTCTAAATATAACTAAATTTCTCTCTTGGCACTCCGGTTGAAAAAAAATAAACACTGTTTCAGACCAGCGAAATATAAAACTGACTGAAATCACATTTACTGACAGGACAACTAACAATTTTAAATTATCACATTTGAGGCCAAGTATTAATCAAATAGACAAATATATCGATTTCGTTATTTCTCATAACGCAACAAGTTCTCCCTAAACCATTTAAATATATACATGTATTTGTAGTTTTTAATAATTTTCGTAATTTTTCTTTTATTCGATGAGGATTTATTTACCTGTTATTAACAGCACTTGCTTATACCTCCTGAATTGCATTGTTTACTTTTCATACCATTTGCACCTTTAGTTCTCGTTTAGTGCAAAATTCTATTCTTTCAACATTTTAATCATCAATGTATATACTGTAACATCAAACACTGATATACACATTTTCTGCTCACGTTCATGGTCTTAATAACTTGTGGATATTTCATAATTGATTGTTTTAATGTGCTCCTTCTTAAACCATTAGCTAAACTTTTTTGTCCGTCTTATAAATAAATCAATCAATATGCCTTTTCGAGAAGGAAAAAAAATCTGAACTATGTCACTGAAGGGAAAAAAATACCCTCCATCCCAAATGCTAAGAGAATCATACACGCTTAGTATTGATCATATGGACTCATCTGTCCTTTTGCAGAGGTAAAGCGACCTTAAGGCCTACCCTCACGCTGGAATAAATTAGAGAGAGATCCTGGTTTTCTGTAACGTTTGGCGGACGCAAAATTCCGATAAAAATTCCCGGCTCATCCCGGCAAAAAAAGAGCAAGACCAAAGGTTACCTCTCTTTATTAAAAGTGATAATGATTTCAATAGGTTATCAAACTTCTATTCTTTTGGGTCGATAACTTGAAAGTGTGGGGCACATATTATTTTAATATAGTACTGTAGGATTGCCATGATTTTCTTTACTTTTAAAAGGGAGCATGGGTCGGTTGCTGTCCCCTGAATCCAACAGTGTAAACCGATTACGGTACCAGGTACAAAAATGCTTCATGATTATTAACAATACAGATCGTGACCAACACGAAATATACAGCTCTCTGTTCCTTTCTCTTCAATGATATTTACATGTAAAATCAAGTTAGATATTGTGACATCCTAAAAATACAAACGCACATTTGTATACACATTTTCACATGAAAATTCTCTTTAAACATTCACAATCAAGAATGGTAACACAAAATATCGTTCATTACCTAAAAGCGTGTACCATACGCCTATAACGATGTTGTATAAGAAGGTAAAAAGACAGTATGCAATTTAAGAGTCGGCTCATTTTATGAAATAAATGCATTTTACAATTCCACACCATACAGTTCCTGCAATTAATACACCAGAAACAGACTGCATTGGCCTAAAAAAAAAGAGAAGAGGATGAGGATGGAGATTATGTTATAGCCTCTCTAAAAGAGTTGGGAGCCCCACAAATTTGATGGCTAAATTTCACTTCAATTGAACAATGAAGTGAAAAAGGATGACATTTAACACTGAACTATGCAAGGATGCTCAAAATATATTTGTTTGAAGACGAATATGGATGAAAGAATACACAAATTTGGTTTTCTGCGTACAATACAAAACCTAAATTCTGTATTCTTTCATCAATATTTGGCTTTAAACACATTTAAGTGAAATATCATAAAAAAAATTTCGCGACTTTTGGGGCCCCTAACACTTTAAAGGAGCTAAAAAGAAGGCGAAGGAGAAGAAGACATAGAAAAGAGGACAAACAAAATAGACAAGGAAGGAGTAGGAGGAGCAGGAGAAGGAGGAAAATAAGAAACATGGGAAGATGAAGTGAAAGAGAAGGAAGGTTGTGATTAAGTAATCGAGTTAAAGAATATGAACGTGTAAGCGGAAAGTAAAAGATGAACGAGGATAAAACCATTTTTTATGAGAATCTGCATTGTCGGATGTGTCTCATTACGGTGACGCATTCCCGTCTGAATTGAACGTTCACGAAACTGTAGATGAAGGGATTGATAACCTGGTTGAGATTCACTGCAAAAAGAGAAGTGTACAAGAAGTTGTATCTAACTGGGTCCGTTTGGAGCCAAGTGAATTTGACGTTTGGGTAGTAGTCCCAGATTTTGGTCGGGATCCAGGAGAGGAAAAATATGACGGTGATGATGAATATCATGACGGTTGTCTTGTTGTTTGTCCGGACGACCGGGGCTGGCGCGGCTGCCTTTGGGGATGGCATCTTTGAGCTAGGGCAGGGACTAGCTCTGCTTGGTGGAGCAAGTTGGTTGCCATAAGATGGACCTTGTTTTGAATAAGGCTCAACAGTAAGAAGGTTGCCCCCGTCTCTGTCACTTTCTTCGGACGGGTTTCTTGATGTCCCAGCCTCATTGCTTGAGGATTGGCCAGTATCGTTCTCTTCAGCATAGCCGTGATTTGCTAGTGCCAAGGGACTTGTAGTCGTTCCATCAGACTTTCCTTGTTCTTTTTCAGCCCAAGCCTCTGATGGCATTACGGAAGCCTGACTCGGCAAAACGTTACCAGAGACACTATTGATTCCACCTAACTTCAGGACTCGAACCCTTGCCTGACGACGCACCGCGCTCCAGATCAGAATATACAGAACCGTGATCACAGTCAGGCAGCTGTAAAACAGAGTGTCGTTCAGGTAGCTTATCACTCGGGCATAGACAACATCTTCTGTGTAATAAGTGCATCTGGAGACAGGACCATAAGAACGAATGCCTGTCATAGCAACGGAGGGTATGGCAGTAAATGCCGCCAATAAGGCAAGACATGACCCGATGATTATGGCTTGCTTAGGGGATACTCTTCGTTTCATCGGCCTGCACACAGCTATGTAACGGTCAACAGTGATGACTGCTGTTAAGAAAACGCCAAGATAGGTGTTCCAGAAGACGAAGAAGTGCATCAGCTTACACAGGACGTGGTTTGTAAACTGCGAGGCCACATAGGAGTAAATTTTCAGAGGAAAACTCACGCAAACGATGAAATCGACTATGGCAAGTCCAAGAATGAAGACGTCTGTTCCCGTTTTACGATGCTTCTTAAGGTAGACGATGATGATGAGGCCATTCCCAGGAATTCCCAATACCATGAAGACACTGCGAATCAACACTGCAAGTATGTATCTTAGAGCCAACATGGTGAAAGACGGGTTTCCTAACCAAATCAGTGTTATACAGATCCGCGAGGATGGTTGTAGTGTTGCTTACAATCTATAGTTATATCACCAACAGGTGAACATCTCTTGCTATAGACATCAAGAGAGTTAACCGTAACTTTGTAGAAATCCTTGAGAACATTGACAAGAACTCCACCTTGTTAAAATAAATATGTAGTCATGCACCAAAAAACGTATTGTACAGCAAGATCAGGGATACATCATGAAAAACTTGGATAATTTCCTGGCAGGATTTTATGTCCGTAACTTTTAAATTGTTTCAAGTTGTTCCGAAAGTCTTTGTCCGTATCATCCAGAAGCTGCCCTCAAAACAAAAGAATGGCGCCGACTAACAACATTGGTATCACTCTATGGAGACTAAGAGGACGATTGAGTGAGTTGGTAGAATCACTCCCCATAAATGCGACTGTTGGCTAATAACATTCAGATCGCGGTATCATTATTTTCTCATCGGGTTATCGAACGGAAAATGTTTTTGATTGGAGTATTGCGCGCCCAGCATGAGAGACTTCTTAGAGTGCCATGGTGCTCACGCTTGTCCGCCCTCGCAGGTTCATCGCAAGTTGCGCAGCTACGGGGGGTTACGGGGGGGGGGGCACATGCCCTCCCCACAATCGAATGGCAAAAATGACGAGATGATTATCTAGTGCACGGTGATGAGTGGATAACATTTTTGACATAATGTCATGGAAAACATAATCCTCTTTAATGGATTTGGATTAGGGTGACGCGAAACTTTTTAACTCCTAAAAGGGTACCGTCGCTAAAGAAATGTTGAAAAGACTGACTAAAGAGTGGAGACTCCCCCAAGTATCTGAGCCCACGCTAGGCCACTATTCATGGCAGTAAAATGAAAAGAAAGGGAATTTGATAATAAAACAAAAACTCTAATTGCCTCACAAGCTTATACATTAAACATCCAGGTCTGCGTACAAGCGGAAACATATCGAATTGACAGGCTCAAGAGTTCGCTTTGCAACTGAGATGGAGTTGGAAATGCGTATCAGGAACCAAATTATCAGCAATGGTAATGTGCTTCGGAACTGCATACCACAGCCCGGTGCACAACATTGCCATAAATTTACAGTTTTCGCAAAGGCGGGGAGGGGGCGGGCGTGGGAGGGAGGTAACCGTAACGGAGACTCAGTCAGTAAACCCTCATACAGAATATACTACAAATAATGTCAAATAATTTTGAGAATAGCCTCCAAATCCATGGCGTAGTGTGTTTCTAGTCATGGAGGGGGGGGGGGGCACCAGCTTGGGCATCGTCATACTAAGAGAATAATTTTGTATCAATGGGGGGGGGGGGTCCTTCCATCTTCTTTTAACGTTCCCTTTCCCCTTTCTTTTCCTTTCTTTCTCTCTCTTTTTTGGTGTGTTATTCGGCGGGGTGGTTTTGGGGCGGTGCTCCCCGTGAAATTTTCAATTTTCAATTTATTAAAACAAATTATCGTAGTAATTTCTCAGAAAATAAATCTTATCTTTATCACGCTCAATTACTGTAAATATGCTCACATTAAGTGGTATTTTTCACTGAATTGTTGAATTCTAATATAATACCATTTTGTTAAATCGATATACTCAGAAATCACTGGGAATTCTATTCGCCCCAACGTCTACATGGGCATGATAAACAGAGAGTAATGAAAACGCAATACAAAAAGTCACAAAACACAGGAAAACTTAATGGTAATACAAAATTTTGAGAAATTTTGAAAATTGGGTGGATAGTGAATCTTTACAATTTTGATATATTTGGATGCCCCTGTGGATGTATTATAAGCACTAAAAAAATTAGCCTCTAAACCACTTCTGTTTTCGAGAAAAATTAAATATAAAAATTTACCGGTGCTCCCGGTAAATTTTGATAAATTTCAAATAGCGCCTATGACCGTACAATGATAGCTGCGACCATGAAAATCTCAGAATATGCAGTTGGGATATATAATTTCCAAACGGGAATAGCTAATCGGTCGATTTTAGTCAAGAAACATTGTTTCATAGCTAAATTAATATCTTGACTTTGAGAGGGAGCTATACAACATGAAGAGTTTATTATTTATAATTTCATAACTTTAGACTCGATTTCAACCGCGACAACGCTCAATGTATATTGTATATGCATATGCTTCCAATATGTTAATTTGAACTAAATTCATAACCCCATACCAAAACTTTGTAATACCTTCAAAGAAAGACAGGAAAATGTCGGCATTGGGAGCCATAGCACTTTTGATTTAGATCATTAGTGCAATGCTATGTTTGTGCGGCAGTACTAAACAATTCGAGCTCTCGTTCCTTTTTGTAGGTACAATTATTTTACGTTTGAGACGATGCAATAATGGAAATCGACTTTATTAGGCGCCATAAAATATAACAAATTGCTTCCTCCATCCTCCGATGCCTGCTTATGTTGCCTCTTTGATCGACACAATTTAATTACACAACATTATTAGACAAGGTTATTTGCTCGACTGGATAAATGGGTGACTTGGAGCGCGTTTATCTAGGCTTGCCACTAGATATGTACATATCGTACCCCACTATCGAACCCCACTATCATACCCCACTATACGATCGTGATTTGCGGGATGTCGCGTTTATCTACTCTTCACGATTCAAAATAAAGGTCTTGTGTCTGCCCAGCTGTTTTGACCCGGGAAGCAGACAGTTTCTCGGAGGTCAAATTCACACACATGCTTGTACACAACACCTGTGTGGTCCTATTTGTATGTGACGTTCAAAACAGCTTTGCGTTTATCGACCTCTCAGAAACGTGATTCTGGCTGTATGTCACATACAAAACGCACCTTTTTGCGTCTTTTGATATGCCCATATCTAAAGACGTTTGAAAAAGGCTTTGCGTTTATCTACTTCTAAATTTGACTGAAAGACGTTTGAGAAACCTGATTCTAGCCAAAAATTTCCTAGATAAACGCAACCTTGAACTACAATTTTCTGTAAAAGCTACCTGAGTTGTTCGAAATAGCACCAAGATACTAGATTATAAAATGACATTTAAACTGAAATGAAGGTTACACGTGTGTTATTGTTCTGTAATTTTGGCCATTAAACTGTGAAGTTTATAATTGGAACGTTGGTAGCGATGCGAAGTTCATGGCGTATATGCCTTCCTAAAGAGCTGGCACACAAGATAAAAGAAAATTGTCATTATCAATATTAAATTACATTTTACAAAATTATAGGGACTACAATAACTATACGGTATATATGTAAAGGAATATTTACTTTTTGTTTGAAAATTAGAGACGTGAATGATAGAATATGGCATGATACAAAATGACGTTTCCAGTATGTATGCGCTTCAAAGAAGGAAATTAAGATTGAGAGATAGAGAGGAGGAAAAGAGGGAGGAAAAGAGGAAGGAGAAAATAAAGACAAACTGACGATGGAGCAAAACAGAAAAGAAAGAAAGAAAAAAGGAAGAAAGAAGAAAACGACGAATGGAAAGAAGAAAAATACTCGTTTTTCTTAAATTCTTAACTACCATATGCACTGCTATTATATTTTGTATAAAGGAAAGTGCTTCTGATGTCTAAAATTTTGCCGGTGTTATATTAATACGTGTGTGTTGTGTTGGGGGGGGGGGGGGGGGGGGGGGTGCGGGGGTCTATCTCGATTGTGGTCGACTTTGGGATTACCCATTTCGCTGCGCGCGTTGCAAGCAATTCTACGTGTGTGTACGCAGCTCAATTTGGTATCAGCCAATTCAAAAGGATCAGCCATCAGCATGGCGGCTTACGAGCGGGAAATTCCATTTTTGGTTCGTATTTTTAAGGTTTTAGTTGAAATTAGATCGGTTCATTAGGGATGATTTATTCCTGTGTAATAAAATTGTGGTTATTTCATTCGGCAAAGAGTGATATTAGATGTGAAACTGTCAGTTTTATTTTCAATAGAAGTTACATTAACAGTTAATAACACAAAAGCCGTTATGTGGGACTGGGTGTTCAGAAAAGTAAAACAAAATTCTGACAAAGTTCATCTTCTTCTTCAGTATACTCCTCAACGTATCGTTTGGAACCAAACGTGGAGGATTAGGGGGTGTGCACTGTTGCTAATTTATTCCTTGTAAGGATTGTTGCTAGAGCCTTAGAGACTAGGCTAGACTAGAGTAGATCTAGAATTCTAGACTAGGGTCTACTCTTGGACTTGGTTGAGGAAAAAGTTGGCTGCTGCTTGTTATTTTTGAGAATGTACTAGAGGTCTAGTTTACTTTGTAGGATGACAATTGAAGGTGTGTCAATGTTTGCGTCCTTTCAATGTGGGGGGGGGGGGGGTAGTGAGTTCCAGTCCTTGATGCCTGATGGTACGTGGAATTTAAGACTAAGCTTAGAGTGTTTAAAACAATTGGGTGCGGGTAGTAGATCTACCAGTGACAGTATTGAATGAAGGAGATTCCTGAACTGAAGTACGGCTGGCGCGTAGGCGGTAGCCGTAGAACTTTACGCATTGAGCGATGTACATTTAGAAAACTGGCAGCTGCGATACATGATGCCAGCGCAGCCCCGTGATAAATCACCACTATGCGCGCGAAGCATAATGCGGGCCAATTTTTCTTGGCATATTGTGCATTGTGTAAGTTTCCTAGCAAAAAAACATTGTTTTGGAAATCAAATCACCTAGATTATAGGCTAGATATTTCATATGCAGGTAAATAAAGAAATATTCTATCAAAACATTGATATTCAAAACTAGACTTGTGTTCCTTCGTTGAAATCCGGAGCATATATGTAGTAAGTAGGCTTGAGTCGGTACGGTCGATCACACCGGGACCCGACCGTTGCCGTCGGGTCCCGGTTTCGTTTTTTGAGAACCGGCGCTCCGAAAAAAATAATGAAATATGTAAGAAATTGCAGTTTTGCACACCACTAAAATCGATCCACCCTAAAACTTAAGTATTTAATTGTTACCAATCGTATTCTAGCTCATCCAGAATCAATCCGAACTGCTGATATAAATATGGGTTGCAAAGCAGTTCGCCCCATGGGGTTGTTGTTGCCAGCTGCTAGCTAGCTAGCTACTGTACTGGCCAGGTCTACGTCTCTCGGCAGAATTAATAAATCAGGTTGAAAGAAACATTAATGTTTGAATAATAAAACGACTTTCTAAAAAGTACTTCTTTACAACATACCGATCGAATAATTTTCAAAAGACAAAATATTTTTTTTTTCTTTGATTTTCAACACCGCATGCTTCTTTCAAAAGCTGAAAATGACTTGGTAATCACAAGAAGTTTCGATACGGATAGCTGTTGCAATGCAAGTTCAGACTAGTCTCGGAAAAATGCGCAGTGCTCCTTGTTAGCTATAATGCGTGCCAGAACGAACCCAAACAAAGACGTGATCGTAACGAGAAAAAAATCATTAAAAACTACGAGAGCACAATTGGAAAGACAACTACTCAAAATTATCGTAAGCAGATACATAACTTGGAGGAAGAATACAATAGTTGTCCAAGAAAAGCCACATAAATAGTGATATTTAATGAGTTACTATAGGTACAATCATTATCGAAAGGGCCTGCTGCAATATATCTAAACGTGTTTAAATTGAACACGAGGCAAATACCGCCCTCTACGGTAAAAAGCAGTATAACAAAGGATTCGAGTATTTGCAGCAGGCCCCTTGCGATAAAAATGTACCCAGTTACTCCTCGATTATCACAATTTCTGTGGCATGTCTTGGGCGATTATTGAATTCATTGTCCAAGTTATGTATCTGATTATGGTAATTTTGAGCAGTATATCTTTCCAATTGTGCTCTCGTAGTTTTTAATGATTTTTTTCTCGTTACGATCACGTCTTTGTTTGGGTTCGTTCTGGCACGCATTACAGATAACGAGGAGCACTGCGCATTTTTCCGAGACTAGTCTGAACTTGCCTTGCAACAGCTATTCGTATCGAAACTTCTTGTGATTACCAAGTAATTTTCAGCTTTTAAAAAAAAGCATGCGATGTTTAAAATAAGAGATAAATATTTATTTTTGTCTTTAAAATATTATATGATCGGTATATTGTACAGAAGAATGTTTTAGAAAGCCGTTTTATTATTCTAACATTCATATTTTTTGACCAGATTTATTCAACCTGCATAAATCAAAATGGCGGCTCGATTGTAGTCTTTATATTTTTGCTCGAGTTTTTTAACTTTTAGAGGCACGATAATGGCACTAAACATCGCCAATCATGGATGAATATAATGTCAAATGGAAGAATATACCAATCTGTGCCAAGGTATGCATGTGTTGATTTATTTGACTGATAAAAATGTCACTTTTAAGGGACATACTGATGATATGCGCTTTTTATAGAGGCAAGTGACAAATCCTGCGAGCTGATTTCGGGACACCGGGTCCCGACCGGTGCAAGGCCGTCGGGACCCGGTTTATGAAAATCCCGACATGACTCAGGCCTAGTAGTAAGATAAGATAAGATTTTTGTCTAATATTGGTCTAAGAGAAGAGGCAAAACATGCGGGCTGCCATCTTGGATTATAATGTAGGCATGCATTATAATCCAAGATGGCAGCCCGCATGGTTCGCCTCTTCACTTAGACCAATATTATTAATTTTAAAGTCATGAAAAGCACTAAACATCAACCAACATGGTCTACAACCACTCCAAATGACAAAATAATCCCAGCCATGAATTTTTTTGGAGAATTTGATAGCCAAAAACTTGAACATTTTCGTCATTAAAAAAAAAAAAAATTCTGCCGATTATTTTTGCCGATACCGATCACAGGTGCGAGGGTGTCGCTCCGATCTTCTGATCCGATCAAAGCCCCAACTTACAGGGTTAACTACATGTATATTAAACTTCTTTGTCTTTCCCACAGAGTATCCCTGAGCCTGAGTCGAGTGTTCATGGTCTCTCTGCTGTATGGGGTAGAGGAAACCAGCTAATCCTTCACACTGGATGTGGGCAGAGGAGGAAAGCGGAGGGCAGTGGTGAGTATACATGTACCTGGCGTGCATCCTGGATTTTGTATAAGAGGAGGCACGATATTCCTAAAATGTACTTCTAAGCAAAAAAGGGTCATCTCCACTCCAGGGGGTGTTTCACAAAGATTCTCTAAATTCAACTCTAAGTTGGACTTAAAAATAATGGAGAGCCATTTGTAGCCTTAAAATAAAATATATTCAAAAGCAAAAAAATTCAAGGTTTTTCGGTTTTTCATAAATTCCACATCAAGATCATAAAATTTCCCATGAAAGAAGATATGAATGATTTAAATCAACATTTTATGCCTTTTAAAATGAGTTTTTCAAAATATTTTCAAAGATGCTAACGGCTTTCCATAAATTAAGTCCAACTTAGAGATAGGTTTGACATACAGTGTAGGATCTTTGTGAAACACCCCCCAGAATTCTCTGATATTGTCTTCATGCATGATTGCTTTGCTGAGTTTTGACATCTAGTTTTCATCAAACTTTAATTATTCTTCATCATGCTAAGGGGCTAAAGTCTGAAAGAGGGTTTTGCCTGCCACTACCACATAAATTTACAGGCCTGATAAAAACCTGATTTTTTTTTCTTCTTCCCAATTATTATTATTATTTTTTTTTTTTTTTTTTCACCAGATTTTTTTCTTCCCTCTTTTATCCTGATTTTACAGATTTCCCCATTATTTTTTCTAATCTTCCCTATTTTGCCCTATTTTTTCCCCAAGTTTCTTACTCGAAAGGGGGTAATGTTGTTAGATGCCATTTTCCCCCGCGAATCCTCTTCTCTTTTTTTACTCAAGGGGGGCGTGGTTGAGGGGAAAACAAAAAACCTATTTTTTTTTTAGTGCTCACTATCACCCCTGGAGTTAGCACACCTTTATCATAAACACAATATTTCAGAGGTTTGTTTTGTTTGTTTTTGTAGCGGTTACCCCTTAATCAGAGGGGGCTTTAAAAAAATGGCCTTTTTGGTGAAAAATAGCATTTTGTTTATAATATTTTATGGAAACCTTGAACCACCATGAGTTTGTTGTCATATGGAAGAAAAGTAAATAATCTACATCTTTAGACCGATTTTAATGAAATTGGGATTAATAAACATCAACATTTTAAGTAAAAAACATGATTGTGGGTGATTATTTTCAAAAATTGAATATTATCCAAAAATAATTCTCCATATATTTAAATTGTGGGGCATCGATTCTCTGTTAGTCATAACTCTCCAGAAACTTGTCCATGTACCAGGACAATATCTTGTGCAAAAGAGAGGCTTATATCTTTTTTCAATGAAAAGTTATAGCAACCCAAAGTTCATTACTTGATTTCAACAAAAACAACATTTTTGCCCATATACATACATGTACAGTGTACATGTACGTACAGTATGTGTAAGGAAACCGCAACCCAAAAATAAGTGTACATATTCTGAAAAAAAGATGTATTCCTGCCCTTTGAATTTGATGTGCATACAGTTAAAGGAATCCTTCACCCTAGAAGAGTACAAACTTATTTTTTCAATTTGTTTTATGGCAATATTTACAGAAGATAATAGCAGGTGAATGAAATGCTTCATCACCACACACATCGGGGAAGAAATCATCCACAAATTTGAATACATTTACTTGATAAATGAATTCACATACATGTACATGTATGTAGTGCATCCCGTTATCAAGAAAATGGTGATCATGTCGTGCTGAGTAACTGAACATTATTCTAGCGTAATGCCTCTCATACACTTTGGTGGGGAAACCAGGGGAATGTAGATTGATGGGCAAGAATATAATAAATCTCTCAAAATAAGTAAAGTTATTATCTTGGGGTGAGGTTTCCTTTAACTGTATGCATACACGTGTATCAGTGTATAGAGGATGTGTTTGGTGTGCTTAAATAGGGTTTTAAAGGTACCATGGGTTTGGTGTAAAATGACTGATAATTAAAAAACCTTCAAGTTGATATCAATTTTATTGAATTACTGTATGTAGTATGTGAAATATAAATTTTGAGCCAAAAATGTGATTTTTGTTTGTTTTTGTGTGTGGATAATTCCCCCTGCCCCTGTTGCTAACATTGCACCCAAATTATGGAACAATTTACCTTAACAAATAAAGACAATCACCATCAATTGAAATATTTAAGAAGAAACTTAAGCACTATTTGTTATGCCTCCGCCACCGAAGGTGGTGCCGGAGGCATCATGTTTTCGGGTTGTCCGTCCGTACGTCCGTCCGTACGTCCCGTTTGACCGTTATCACAATATCTCAAGAACCATTTAAGATTTAAACTTAAGACTCGGGAATAGTATTTATCACCATAGGAAGACGATCTGATTAGATTTTGGAGTACGTAGGTCAAAGGTCACAGGTCACAGAGGTCAACTTATGAAATTCCTTGTATTGAGTTTGTTAGCGCGATATCTCAAGAACCATTTGAGATTTAAACTTCAAACTTAAGGATAGTATGTATCACCATAGGAAGACGATCTGATTAGATTTTGGAGCACGTATGTCAAAGGTCAAGGGTCACAGAGGTCAACTTATGAAATTCCATACATTGAGATTGTTATCATGATATCTCAAGAACCACTGGAGATTTAAACTTCAAACTTAGTGATAGTGTGTATCACTATAGGAAAACAATCTGATTAGATTTTGGAGCACGTATGTCAAAGGTCAAGGGTCACAGAGGTCAACTTATGAAATTCCATACATTGAGATTGTTATGATATCTCAAGAACCACTGGAGATTTAAACTTCAAACTTAGTGATAGTGTGTATCACCATAGGAAGACGATCTGATTAGATTTTGGAGCACGTAGGTCAAAGGTCAAGGGTCACAGAGGTCAACTTATGAAATTCCATACATTGAGATTGTTATCATAATATCTCAAGAACCACTGGAGATTTAAACTTCAAACTTAATGATAGTGTTTATCACCATAGGAAGACAATCTGATTAGATTTTGGAGCACGTAGGTCAAAGGTCAAAGGCCACAGCGCACATTATGAATGCAAAAACAGCTTGTGATCGCGTTATCTCAAGAACCGATTGATGGATTCATGCCAAAATTAGGTCATGTTTGTTACTTGCAGAGCCAATGAACTGAGTAGATTCTTGGTTCATAAGGTCAAAGGTCAAAGGTCATGGGCCCATTATGTATGCAAAAATAGCTTGTGAACGCATTCTCATTAGAACTGACAGATGGATTACTATTTAACTCAGAACATCTTGCAGAGCCAATGAACTGAGTAGATTTTATGGTCATGAGGTCAAAGATCAAAGGGTCATATATGTATATGAGAAATTGCTTGTAATCACAATATTCTGAGAACCTGTCAATGGATTACCATTGAACGTGAATTCAATTTTTTTTTCTGTTTTGGTTTGTAAAATTGCTCTATAACGGAGGCATCATTTTCGACTGCGCGCAGTCGAATTCCATCTAGTTTATGTCATAGTTTTAATATTGCATAATTATGTCGTAGTTTTAATATTGTATATTTATATCTTAGTTTTAATATTGTATAATTATTTTGATACTGTACAGAGGGCCTTGAGCAGTCTTTTAGAAAGAATATGTGCGCTTTATAAGTTGACATTATTATAATTAATTTTGGCCAGTATCTCAGTATATTAACTTGATCTGACGTTTAGTAGTGCAGAAAGTTCAAATAATTAGGAGCGTTGAGTGTAATTGATAAGCACGTCTTCTATACTACTGTATGTGATTTTCAGGAAATGTGGGCTTGGGCATGTCCAGAATGCCAGCGAAAAAAAAAGGGGGGGGGGGGGAGGCACTTACATCGATAGATTTTATGTATCTATTTTATCTAGATTCCCTATGATGCACACCATGTTATAAATTTAAGAGCAATGTGAGGGATACACAGAGAATGGTGGAGATGCTGAAAACACTTTTTTTAAATTCAGAATATCCAATTGCCCATTTACAATCAAACAGTGACCGAAATGAAATTTTGAACAAAATGGAAAAAAGAGCCTGCATACAGGCCTATCATGATTATGGGAACGGGTGTGGAGGATTTTTTCTTCTTCTCCAGACGAGTTATTACATGTATGTACAATATTTTCCCTTTTGAAGAAAAAGAATTGTTCGAAATATTAGAAATACCGTACATTACATGTAGGTTGGGGAAAGAGTTCTTTCCAATATCATAAATAGCCTGAGAATAGCCCCAGCAGTTTTATCTCAAACTGCCAAATTGACAAACAACACTTTCACTACACACCATGTGTCTGCTTGCCAACGCTGCAATGTATACATTTTGACCAACTCAGGAAATTGCCATATCAAGCAAATATACAGGATATGCTTTTTTTTAGCTGACTTTTGTTGCCCATCTGTATAATAGATTGAATGTTTTATTTGATCAACCCAGAAAATTACAGTTTTATTGAGTCTTTGAGACAGAAATGTCAACACAATGTCAGTGTAGAAAAAGATGTACATTGTACATCGATACCTCAACGGAGAAAATAGGCGCTGATAATGACAGTCCAGTGATTCCTACAGGTCTGTGTTTCTTTGACAGGTGACCAAGTAGTCTACCACCAGACCCCGTCCACACTCCATCAGGTAGAATGGCAGACAGACATGCACAACCCACACACCAGGAAACTTGTTATGCAATCACATGGTAAGGAGATTCATCACACTCTCTCTCTCTCTCTCTTTCTCTCTCTTTCTTTTTCTTTCTCTCCACTCTCTCCCTCTTTATCCCTCCCTCCCCCTCTTTCTCTGTCACTATCTCTTTTTCTCTATTACATGTAGCCATATTAGCTGTTTGTCTTTGATACCTTATTTTTTTCTTGCTCACTAACCACCATTATCTCTCCCCTCTCTCTGTCACTCTTTCCCACCCACTTTCTTCTTTATCCTTCTCTCTCTACATCTGTATGTCTCTCACTTTACATGTGCATGTACCTTTCTATCTAGACTATTTCTCTCTTTCCCCTTTTAGACTCTGTTTCTCCTTGTGTGTATATTGTTCTCTTTCATCCATCTCTCTCTCTTTCTCTTTCCTCCCTGCCCCCCCCCTCCCCCCTCCCCAACCTCAACTCCCTTTCTCTCTCTCTCTCTCTCTCTCTCTCTATCTCTCTATCTCTCTCTCTCTCTCTCTCTCTATTTCTATCTCTCTCTCTCTCCCTCTCTCTCTCTCACTCTGTCAACCATCAACCATTATCTGTTTGTCTTGCTATCTTTGTATCTAGAGCTGTCATTCTTTGTCTCCCTCTCTCACTCCTCCCCTCCCTCCTCCCCTCCCTCCTCCTCCCCTCCCTCCCTCCTCTCTCTCTCTCTCTCTCTCTCTCTCTCTCTCTATTTTCCACCCTCACCATCTTTCCTTATTTTGGGCAGGTCCAAGCTATTTGGATTGTGACGTACAGGACATTTAGAGACTTTAAACAAGAAACAACAAGAAATAACAACAGTACGGGACGCTGTGGTCCCGTACGTCACGCAGCACATTAATTACATTTAAAATTAATTAAAAAATTGGTCAGAACTAAAACTTTCCACAAATGAACTAGCCCATAATAGCCACAGACTCATACCAAAAGATAGCCATATAAATAATTTCATCTGTTGTTATTTCTTGTTTAAAGTCTCTAAATGTCCCGTACGTCACAATCCAAATAGCTTGGACCTGCCCTTTTTGATACACTGCATGTATGTTCATGTACATGTATCATTCTCATATTGATAACATGCCCCTTTTCTTTGCACAGATGTTTTTGTTTCGCTACAAAAGCAATCTCCCGAGGACAAGAACGCATCAAGGAAACCTCAGTGAGTTTTCTTTTTTTGAATTTCTCCCTCTCTTTATTGATTTATTTCATTCACTTGATACTGATAATACTAATAATGGTGGCTTCTTATGTAGCACACATGTCCATCATCACATTGTGACACTTCTGGTGCTGATGTCAATTATGCTGTTCAAGTTGCCATGGCAACCTAGCTTTGCTGACACATTTTAGAAAATCACTCTATAACCGTGCTCTCATTTTGTTCAACTTTGATAATGAGGACTGGCACTTTGCACTTGTCACTCATTGCTCATTTTTTATTTGATTAATATGACAATAAAGGGGGGGGGGGGAGAATCCAGCATTGAGATACTGATCAAAATCGTTATTGCTGTCACGTTTCACCAACTGATGCACATGGTGGGGTTTAACGACCGTGGTCAAACCAATATCAATCTATCGGATTGTTATTATTTCATACACTTGTATCTATTTCATTGTATGCGACAAGCAAGGTCGAGACTTATATCATGATTGCAATTAATTTACCTTTTAATAGTTGATGAGGTTTTCACTGTTGTTGCAATTCCCTAGGTTGTATAGCATTTAATAGTTTTCAAGTACAGTTTCTTTTGTTAGCTAGAAAATTTGAATAGCAGATTAATTATACAAATATTGCCTGCTGTGAGGTTCAATATAATAAACTATATGAACCAACACATCCAAATTTTCCTGAGTTTTGTTTTATTTCACTGAGGCTGCAGGCTGAGGTTGAAATATAATGTCACAACTCCAAAGGGGAATTCTGAATTTGAAGGTGCAATTGCATGTACAGTATGGTATATTTACAAGAGTATGCATGCAATATTTGTTATATAAAAGATAATGCAGATATACATGTAGTGCACAGTCATGCACTTATAAAATGTTGTTGAGTGTCAGGTGAAACTTTTTCAAACAATGGAATACATGTAAATACCCTCTTACAGGCCTTAAATTTCAATATTTTTAGGGCAAGGCCACTTTTCTGAAGGGCACATTTCTATATTACAGCACAAATAGGAAGAATTGGAAAGGGCTCAAAAAATCTCCAAGGCCAATGAGAGGGGCATTGAGGCCAATCAAAGGGGCATCCACGGCCATGGCCTTGGTGGCCTTGGATTAAATATGTACGGTGCGTATCAAAAATAGTGCACCCAACTTTGGTAGCTCCTAATTATTAGGCATAATGAATACGTATGAGTATGAAATCTATTTCATGATGAAAAGTAACTCATTTTCTGTCGCATAATACACCATTCATAATACTTCTGCAATGGGTGACTGAGTACCACCATGGTCCTTAAAAAGTGTTGTCAAAATCGCCAAGTAAATAAATCATTTTCTATCTCTCATTTGTTTAATACTTTACTTTACATCTTTGTTCATCTCAATCCTCCTTATTAGTTGTCCCTAAGACGCGCAGATCCTGGGGGATAGAGCATTTTCTCATTCTGGTCCGTTCCTTTAGAATAAGCTGCCACTTAGTATTCGTAACTTAACAGCCCTCCAGTCCATGACTTCAAAGTTGCTCTAAAAACCATCTCTTTCTAAACAGTGCTATTTAATCATGTCAATGTAGCGTAATAATTTGTGTTGTTTTAGTTTACTTTATTTTAGTTAAGAAAGTTATATGTTTGTGATAGTAATATGTACAACGCCATGAGCGTCAGAGCCTGACGGATACCGGCGCTATATAAATATCCATATTATTATTATTATTATTATTTAGGAGGAACAAGAATTACTACGGCTTAGTATTGCTAGTTGTCATCGAAATTCAAAGAAGTCTGTCAAAAAAGAATTGAGTCCTTACCAAAACTGTACATGACCTTTAATTTCATGACCCCTACTACCTGTACATGAATGAAAATAGCTTGCTGGATATTAATATGTGTTTTTACTCATTAAAAAGTTGATTGTTTTCATAACCCTTGTCGCCATTTAGATTAATAAAGTGCAGTCGACATTATCGGGCATTCATAGCTGAATGCGTGCAGGATCTCCGCAAGGCCTCATTAGGTATGAGCTAAATTTAATTCTACTTATGAAATGCAAGGTTCATTGTAACACCATGACATTTGGAAGTGTTGCCCGTTTTGATCGTGGAAAAGAAGATTGTGGGCAGGAAACGTCACGTACTGTCAGGTTTGGGACTGTCCCTTCAAACCACACACGCAAATCGTTTTTAAAAAAATATAAAAAACAAGAAGGAAAGAAGAACAATATGAAGAAAAAGAAAGACACCCCCATGTAGACCACAAAATAAAGAAGGAAAAAATATATCAGTTGTACAGTATGCTGAGGATAGAATGTACTTACAAGACCCTTTTATCTTCTTAACTCTTATGTTATGTTGTTTTTAGATTCTTGTAACCATCTCGTTTTAAAACCAAACATGAAGCTGAATTTCAGTCAGATATTTACTAAATGGTATGCTCTATAGCATCACTATAATATTTTGAATGGGGGCTTACAGGGAAGAATTTTCCCGGTATGGCATCGCAATTTGCGACACATTTTCAGCCATTTGCTACACATCTTTTTTTATGATCTCCCTCATGAAATGAACAGTTCTATCACCATTTTAAGATGCATATCCATATATTATGTTTAGGATATTCAAATATATATTGATGGAACTTGTATTCAATGTATTGGACAATTCATATTAAAGGTAATACAAAGTTTTGGTATGGGGTCATGAATCTGGTTCAAATGAACATATTGGAAGCATATACTATCCTACAATATTCAGTGATCGTTGTTGCGGTTGAAATCGCGTCTAAAGTTATTAAATTATAAATAATTAACTTTTAATGTTGTATAGCTCCCTCTCAAGGTCAATATATTAATTAAGCTACAAAACAATAATTCTTGACTAAAATCGACCGATTAGCTATTCCGGTTTGGGAATTATATATCACAACTACATATTCTGAGATTTTCATGGTCGCAGCTACCATTGTGAGGCCGTAGGCGCTATTTGAAATTTATAAAAAATTTAATTTTTCTCGAAAACAGAAATGTTTTAGGGGCTAAATTTTATAGTGCTTATAATACATCCACATGGGCATCCAAATATATCAAAATTGTAAAGAATCACTATCCACCCAATTTTCAAAATTTCCCAAAACTTTGTATTACCTTTAAGGCATGTCACCCACAAGTCCTACCCACCATCATGACAAATTCATGGCAATGTAGCTCCGTAAATTACACTCTCTATTTATAATAGTGTTGACGGTAACCTCTTATTCATTTTCATTGTTATTTTATGTGTTTTATGTTGTTATTGTGGTCTCTTTAGCTGATAGTTAAAGGTTTTGGCTATTCTTAAAAGTCTATGTTTCAAAAAAGAGGAACTGAAAGCGAAATTTAAAAAGAAGTATATGTCTAGCCATCGTTTTGAATTACTGTGAAAAATGATTAAGTAATTGATATGTGTTGAAAAGAATAATAACTCAAACTTGGGTAACTATACTTCAGGAACGGTTAAAAATAGAGACCCTATAAGAATGTAGTGAATGATCGCAAAGGACGATTGTTACTCCGCTTGAGTAGCTCTCATGGACAACATACCCCTCCCCCCCTCCTCCAGACAATGTCCCCCAGTTTAATTTTGTATTACAAAAATACACCTCTTTAAGAGTATTATGCTGTTATAGGTGATGTTATAAAATCTTAACTCTTGAATGAGGTTTTTAAATGCACTACTTGCGCCCTCTATATAGCAAACAATGCCTAAGCGGTGACCATTGGTCCCCCATGGTCCCCTTTTTCTTACGTTAATTGAGAGCTGATTTGATGAGATAACCACCTGTCAGTGACCATGCAGGGAGGTCTAATACTCTCATTCCTCTTGGCAAAACTAGTACATATAGGCTTTAAAGAAGTACATACATGTATATACATTATATATATATATATATATATATATATATATGCTGTAATTGCTGTTATAGGTGATGTAATAAAAATCTTCATTCTTGAATGAGGTTTTTAAATGCATTAAAAATGATTCATCATGCTGGATTTTCCTCCCTTTCCTTCTCTTCGCAGACCCAAATGTAGATCAAACAGAAGCAAGAGAGTATGGAGACCAATGTGAAATCTTCCAGACCATTGGATTGATATGGAGTCTGTGTGAAATCCTCTTTGTAGAGACATTGCCAGGTAAACAGGTTTTGAAGAGAGATCAGTACGCTAATTATATTCATGTACCGTATTACTATTGCTTACAATAATAATTGCTAACAATTTCAACGAGATAATATCATCAGTAGCCGTTTATAATGCATTTTTGTTTCATAACTTCCAGTTAGAATTTCTTGAATTGGATATTGAAAGAATTTCAAAGAAAGCTTGTAGGAGAACTCATGTTCCTCCACATAAAACCCTACACTGTATTGAATACAGTGTAGGATTTTATGTGAAGGAAGGAGGTACCCCCCCCCCCCCCCCAACCTCTTTGGTTTAATGAAGAATATCATTTGTAATACAGATTTTGAGATTTTTTGTCTTTTAAATGAATGTTTTGGGTGTTGTTTATACCGTATGTAGCAGGGCTCTAGACTAATGGGAAACCGATTCACAGAGACCTCCAATATTTCTACCCAGGTGTAAATAGGTACATGTACTTGATATGCCAGAGCGCTAGATATTTGGCCACCAGCTATGACTAGGTTATTTATGTTTGAGCACCAGCAGGAGCATTACCTGACAGACATGTGCGCTACATAAGAAGACACCATTATCAATTATTAATTATATCATTATCATTATGATGTTCCATTGTTGTTATTACAGGTGGTATAGTCTTACAGCAGCTGTTAGACTGGGTCAAGCTACACTTCACAGAGGGCGATGTCAAGGCTAGAAACATTCTCATGGCAGAGGAGATCGAGACCACAGAAGAATACTGGTCTGCTGTAAGTAGTGCCTTATCTTTATTTGTACTCTCTCTCTCTTTCTCTCCCTCCCTCCCCCTCTCTCTCTCTCTCTCTCTCTCTTTCTCTCTTTTGTTCTTTTTCTTGATCTCTCTTGCCCTTTGTGTTTTTTTTAATTTGCTATTTTTATGTTTTAAGAAATGGTCTATCTAGAGTTATATTTTTGATCTTTTCAGGAATAATCTAGAGTTATAATTTTCATGTTTCAAGGAATAATCTGGAGTTATAAAACCAGTGTTGAGTTTATCTTTCTGTTTTCATTTTCATACACGTTTTCAATGTACTGTATGATATGACGGTAGACTGTCTTTGAGTGAGGCTAAATCAAGAATCTTATCTCAGTTCTGATATTTTTTACAAGCTATACATTGTTGCTTTTCAGCATTCATTGAAATGCATCCAACTGAACACGTACTCAAACAATAGTTCAATGAAGTCACAGCCCTTTCTTTTGTGTGAATAGGGGACCAAATAATACTTGGACATTCTTTGTTTTCCTGCCATAATCAGCTAATCCCATTGCTGACTTTAGGTGAACATGCATTACTTACAATCCAGAAATCTTCAATTTCCCATAGCATCAATGCATCACCGTATTCTTAAATTGTAAACTGATTCTTTTCCAATGGTTCATCTTCAGATCTACATCTACATCCTACAAGGGAGACTCACTGAGGCCAGGCATATGCTTTCATTGGATCCAAAGTTCCAACATGACACTCATGGGGTGAGGAAAGATATTGCACAATTCGTCAAGAGCCAAAAAGTTTTTAATCCTACATGAAATTATAGGAGTGATTTAGTCTTTGGCTCTCAGCATATGAAATCATGTATGGCATCTTGTTGATTTTAGTTTTGAAGAATATGAGTTTGTTGGCTATGTTTGAATTACTAAAAGTATTTATGAGTTGATATGAAAGCCAAATCCATCTTACAGGTTACATTGTAGATCCTTTGTAACAGAGTTTTGTGTAACAGGCTGAACAACCTATATCAATAACTTGCATGAAATGAATACTCTACATGAATTAATTTGAAGAAGACATTTCAATCTGATTAGGCCATTAAAAAAACAAAATCTTGTTTGGCATTTCCGTCCATTTCCTTTTTTGAGGTTACCTGTTTTTGTTTTTGTTTTTTTTGTCAATGAAAAAACATTTCAAACATACTTCTAAAATGATCTTTTTCTGAATTAAAAAAAAAAAAAACATAAATGCTGGCGGCCATCTTGAAAAATAGCCCGACTGGCTGGACGTCAAGGAAAACGTACCGAGCTGCCATTTTGAAGAAGAAAAAAAAGTTGAAAACCAAATAACAGTCTGTGTGTTGATAAAATATATACCAAATACCCTGTCAATTTTTGAGAAGTAACTTTTTCAGAAGTGGGAACAGTGTAAAAGGGGGAAATTATATTATACCTCTACATGATGAAATATGCTTCATGTTTATGCTGTATATTAGACGATTGCATGTTTTGTAACTATCTCTTAAAAATGCTCTGTGGTTGTGAATTTGAACTATCGTCATGATGATTTGGTTTTATTTTGATGCTCATATATGACCAAAATTTATTCCATATGCACAAATTAACCACTGTATTATATGGCATTAACAATGATCTCTCTCCCTCCACCACATTCCTTATAAATTTCCCCTTCTGCGTCAGGCTTATGGTAGAATCGATGAGCTGATGCGGCGTATGCCTGTGTTTGGAACCCTGAGTCGACAGTCCCTGGCAGAGTTTGACCTGAAGTGGCGCCATTGGCAGGACACCTGTAGACAGTGTCTTGAAGATCAGAGCTTCGTTTCGTATCCAAGGCTGGAGGTCGTCTGTAAGGTAACAGAGAAAGACAATTTTTTTTAGATTTTCCACCAATGGAGGCTTTTGGTATTAACACCATGTGGTAAGGCATGCTGAAAAGGCTGTTGATGTATTCCTTTTCGTTATAGGCATCGTTTAAGAATGTTAATTCTAAGATGCATCGCCCTACGTGTTATCAGTGTCTGTGATATGGTGTAATATTGAAGCGCTTCAAAATGTTCATGAAGTGCCTCCAAAAAGTAAAAGTCTTTGAGTGCCTGGTTTTACTATAGTCAATAGACTGTAGTGTTAAACAAAAAAACAGTTTTTGGAATTTTGATTTCCAATCGTAAATATCTTGATAATCAGACGGGCGGATCAGCTTGTAAAAGTCATGGGGTTCCTGACTGACTTAAAGGTTTATCATTATCGTTGCAGCATGAGCTAAATGCTCATTTTGTTTCAGAATCTCAGACAATGTTACCAAGTAACTTAAAAGCTTCCGCATGGTGTCACGATAAGCCTCCAATATCAAATACACACTCACCATGGAAATGTACAGAGAACATCTAATATTTGATTTTGTATAGTAGCTACGGGTAGCCTTCCAATTGTGCCTATCAAATCCTTTGAATACAACATTTGTCTTTTTGTAAATCAAATTTCCATGAACTTCCAAAATTTGCTGTTATGTTTTTTAAAGCCTATATGCACTAGTTTGGCCAGGAGGGATTAGACCTCTCTGCATGGTGACTGACAGGTGGTTATCTCTCCAAATCAGCTGTCAATTAACTTAAGAAAAAGGGGTCCATGGGGGACCAACGGGTACCGCTTAGGCATTGTTTGCTATATAGAGGGCGCAAGTAGCTACAAGCAGTGCAGTCCTGCTTTAAATGAACAATAGCGTGCCCAGAAATGAAAATTTTGAATGGCCACAAAATAACCATAAAGTATATGTGACAAAATGGCTAGCTACCCTGAAAGTATGGAATACCAAGGTGTTTTGAAAATCTGATGCACTTCTACAAGGAGAAATAATGGCAAAATTGTATAAAAATACAACTAGCAAAAAAACAAACATACTACCAACATACAGTTGAAAATGAAAAATGTACAGAGCAAAGAGGCCTTGATTTAAACTCTTTTTGTTTCATGACAGATCCTTTGTGGTGACCAGTCTGTCTTGCTGCAAGAGGTTGGGGACTTGATCCAAGAACTTGGCGGCTGGTACCACCTGATGGTCACTCGACTCCTCTACACCAACCCAACGGTCAAGGCAATGGACCTTCACTACCATGCCAAGGTGAGACGAATTGGTCAAGGTCCAAAGTGCATTTATTGAATGTGTTGTCTATTATTAGTAGTTTATAAATATGCTGTCCCAAGGATAGGGTGTCAAGCCTTAGTCCTCTTGCTGCTGACCTATACGTATGGCCATATCTGCCTTTGAGAAAGATCACCTTTGTGTAAAGACCATCGTTCTATAAAGATTTTTTATTTTTTTATTTTTTAAAGCAGTGAATGATACATCGGATACTAATGGCACACAAGTAAACCACATATAGATCTGTCAAATGCATGAAATGTTTTTATCAATTGACCTCTGACCTGCAGGCCAGCATGGATGCGTGTGGCGTCTCTGGTAGAATGACATCGTTGGACAGTATCTTGGACAAAGCCTTGGAGTTTGATATCTACCAGATGATCAAGATCAGCAGGTAAACAAAACATGTAGAATTTGTGTTTTATCCTTCTTCTGGCTTTCCATTTTTAGCTGTCTTTCTCTCTCTTAAGATATACCTTCCTCCCATTTCTTGGTCTCGCTTGTTCTATCACAAGGTCTCCTAGAACTTCCTAAATGCTAGGATACATGTAAATTTTTGAATAAAAGGTTCTTTGATCGATTTGTCGAAATGCATGCATGTAACGATAGGCCTTTATACTTCATTGATACTAAATCCTGAAACAGAAATTCTATAGATTTGTTTAAAAGTATAGTTTTTTTTCTTCATTTGTGTAAAATGTGGCAGAAAAGGAACACTGTATCCATAGTACAATGGTTGTAGGACATGTGCTCCTGCAGCAAATGCCTTTGGTAAGACATTAATCTATATTTCCCACACACTTGACCCAGGTGAAGAATTAACGTGGGTACCTTGTAGGATTCATTCCTTGAATTCACTGAGCTCTTTGCTTGCTGGAGCTAAACCGGGGTATAGAGATCCAAAGTCCTTTTGAAGCCATAGAGACGTTATATCAAAATGTGATATGCGCTATACAAGAGCAGCATATTATTATTATTGGTATTATTATTATCCAACTCTGATTTTCTTGCAGTGCAACATTGAGTAACTGGTGGTTTGTAGCTCACCTCTCCGACCTCCTTCACCACTGTGGTCAGCTGGACTCACATCAACTCAAGTAAGATACACAAGTTTAACTATAGTTTTTTAGTTGTAGGTATGCATTGCTGTGTTTATTTGAAGTACAAAATCAAGTCAAACTATGTTTACCTCAAGAACAACCAGCGGAGCATGATTTTGAATTATTTGAATGAAATTGCATGTCACAATTAGGACTTAACAAAAACACACACACACATACAGAAATGACATCTCAAAGAGTTTTGATATTTCAGAGCAACACCTTCTTGTGATCAGTTCTAATTGTGTGCTCAAATTGATCTTTTATAAGTGAACTCCTAAGAACTTAAAGAGTGGCAAACTAGTCCTACTCCAGGATGCCTTTTGGGGGTGAAAAGTTCACATACGATAAATCCCATGAAAAGAGCCGATACTTGGGATTAGGAGAGGTGCAAACAAAGGAGCCCCTGTGTCTATTTAATAATAATCTGGATTAATATAGCGATTAACACGAAATACCGTCTCCAAGCATTTTACAGATATTTTTACCCCGGTCATCGGATTCATTCATGTACAATGTGCACCATCTCCACTCCCTGGGGAGTATTACTACCATATGGTCATTTTGAGGGCATTTGGCAATTACTATCATCAAGGCTTTGGTCATCCTACTAGGTCCCCATTTATCTCCTGGGAAAGGAGTGGCAAATATAGATTAATGCCTTGCCAAAGGTCATATTTACTAGGGGATCTGACTTCTTTGGTTTGATTCATTAGAATTTTAAAAATTGTCACCTGTTCACTTCATTCTGTAGGTATAGCATGAAATGAAGTCTAACTTAATGGCTTGCTGGAATTAATATACTTAAAGCTTCATTTATATTTAACTCATAAAAGTATATCACCCCCTATAAACTATTTCCACATGGCCATTTTTTCTTCTTCTCCTCTTGCCTAGTTTTGGATCTGATCTGAGAGAGTTTCTCCTGCTTGAATATTCCTCTACACTGATGTCTCATACAAGGTAAGGATTGCCTTCAAACCAGGATTCTGTCTTTCATGTCATGTCATTTTCATCAAAATCCATCAATTACTTACGACACAGTTGCTTGAGATTTACCCTCTAATTCGTACCGTGTCACTTCGTTTGTCCCCATTTTTATTTGATTGCATATTCGTATCGCTAGTTTTAGCTCAACGCGCTTGAACACCATTTGTCTTTGAGTTTTAAAAATCCACTGGTTGGAAAGAGCACATCTTAAGCTTTATTTTCATATAAAAAATGATGGGGGTATGTTTTAAAAAGATCGTGAAAAATCAGGGTGAAAAGTTTTAAACAATTTTTCTATATCAGAAAAACATACTTTTAATTCAATTTTGATACGAGAAGAAAGAGAATTTACTGGAGAATACGATCATGTAAATATTAAGAATGACCGCGAGATGGTGCTCGAGCGCAAATCCAATGAATACAGCTGTACCCTGACACTATGAACATGACGGACAAAGAAAGCAGACAAAATATACAGTTCCTCAGGTAGACAAAGGAACATCCCTTCACTGCTAATATGTAAAAATGTGTAGAACAGGTGAATATGCATGTGGCACCTGTTCTACACATTTTTACACAATAGCAGTGAAGGGATGTTCCTTTGTCTACCTGGACTTCTTGAAGAGTTTAGAGCCATTTTCAAATGCCTTTTAAAATTAATTTAAATGGATTTGATGGTTCAAACTTACAGAAATAAGTAATCTATATATACCCCAGATATGGCGAAATTCAGCCCCTTTTTATAGACACTCTTAAATCTAGCCATGTTTCAAAACTCATGAAAACTTGTTCCGGTGACGCAAAAATAGCCATTTGTCACACGGCTCAAAATGGGCTTCATATAATTATTTGAAAAATTCCACACAAAAAAAATATTTGTCATAAGAACCTGAAAAAAATAGGCATGTAGAAATCCATACAGAGAACAGATTTCTTGAAAAGAAAGGTGATTCATCAATTAATTACAAAATTATATCACCTTGAAAATGGCTAATTGTCAGTTAGAGCCTAATTACGCAGAATTTGACCATTTCGTCTCTTATGTAAGTGGCCATATTTTCAAAAGCACATATTCAAATTTGACAAATGAGGTATCAAAATTCTTTTTTTCATGTGCTCAAAAAGGAAATGGGCAGGGGAAGTGAAATTTAGAAACTTTTAAAATTTCACTGTGATACTTATTTAAAGGGAGATGGTCATCAAGTCTTTATGTGCAGTAGACCATAATTCACTGACACCAGACTTGGTGGAAATACCATTTATGGGCGTACAAGTCTCACACACAGCAAACCATAGTCCCATTAGGAAACACCCCTAGTCTCTTGGAGAGTCTTCGGTTAAGGGAAATGTATGGAAAATGCAGAGCATTATATAAGGCCTGTTGGTCATAAAACTGAAGGTTATCTTGGTGATTGACAAAACCTCTTATGGTGTAAACACCTGAATGGTGTCCAATTCCCCATGAGAGCCCGCTACTATGCGTCCTTCAGTTTGAATATTTTGTTAGTATGTATTAAATATATGTTGACAAAAATTTAAATCCCAAATGGTCCAGTTCACAAGTTCCAGATGTTAAAATGGAATACTTTATCAAGGTTAAATGTAATAACAAATTTGTTTCAATAAAACTTTCTTCAATTCAATTCGATTCGATTTATTGTTTCAACAATTCAATAAAATGACAATAAAATCATACCAAACAACCTATATACATAGCAATGCTTTAAAGATATAAAGAAATTCCAAAAACAATAAAAGGTCTAGTACAAAATTACAATAGAAATAACATTTAAAAATGTCAATAATTCTTCTAAAACACATTAGAATCAGTGGTACTGGGAGTGTTAATGTTGTCTTTTTCTTTCTCTTTTCACAACAGTTTCTGGCAAGTAGTAGCTGACTATCTAGATCACTGCCCTCAATTTGGAAGGTAAGTTTAGCTGGATGATGCATGGTTGTAGTAATAGAATGGAATGTGAATACTTGGAAGAACTGTTTTTCATCATAAAATTAGAATGGTTCAGGAATGGAATGGGATGTGTATATTAAAATTATACTTAAAAACTGTTTTACATCATACATCAAAACAAATAGCATCCTAAAAACAAATTTCAGGCCGTAAGGTTTATCATTTGAACTTATTCATGATGTCCACTTATCTGTGCAAATTTAAAAGATGGTAACATCATTCATGTTGATGAAAGGAATAATAAGCAAATGTAATTTATAATTCATAATTCAGGGCCCCATTTCACAAAACTTGTCATCAGTGACAAATGACAGTCTTTGTTATAAGCTACTGAAATCCTTGCTTCTGATTGGTTATCAGCAGATTTGTCACTGATTTTTGTCATTTGTCATTGAGAAAAAGGCTTTGTGAAACAGGTCTCTATCAATCTACAATGATACTGCTTTATAGTCTTTTATTTCCACTATTAAAGCTTTGTGATAAATGACTTTCTCCTCGATTTTTATTGCAGACATTATCTGGAGTTATTTATTGAGCGGATCCCTCTGAAGACCGAGAGGAAAGCCCTCAAGGTTCTCAAAGCTTGTGAAGACAGAGACATGAAGGAACAAGGTAATTTCTATTCTTAAGTTTTCAAATATTCCACAGTCACTGTAGAAAAACAATTTTCCTCAAATATTAGATTTATAGTTAACAACTAAATTATTAATGTAAATCCATGTTATTCATGTAAATATGCTTTCTTTTTTGGAATTTCACTTTACTCAAGATTAAAAGGCAGGCTGGTTAAATTAGAGCCTTTGTAGAATAATGTAAGCTTTGATATCTTACATTATCAAGAAACCTTAATGGGGACAAATCAATTTTTCACATACTTAACAAAAATTTGAAAACTTGGTAAGGGTATAAATAATTTAGCTGTCAACTGTATCTTGAGATGGATTTGAGTGGTGCAAAGGAGCTCATGCTGCAAAATTCATTTGTCTTCGCTATTTTCAAAGTCACTGCAAAGTCTTTCTTGCTGAAAGTGAAAAAATTGTACATACAGTCTACCTAAGACTTTTTTTAATAGACGTGACAGTAACAATGAAAGAGCATTCTTTTTTGTTGTTCTTCATGTGCTTTTGCAATATACAAGCTTAGAATGCTCTGCCTGGCATTCATTTAAAATCTTTATCAAGTGGTGTGGACAGAAAGTTGATTTATTGATGCCCTGCCACCCATTAAACTCACATTGGTCATTGGTCTTTAGTGTTAACAAACCGCCCCACCCCACTTTGTTGAAGATGCCACTGTTAATCTGCCACTGACCACTGTAGCACTCCTTTTTCTTGAAAACATCATAGTCGTGTATTTATCCATATCCTCCATAATGGGTGTGGCTCAATGCTTACCCAGCAGAAATAAATGGAATACCGTACTTAAAGCCCCACTGCACTACCTGTAGCTACTTGCTCCCTCTATATAGACAACAATGCCTAAGCGGTGCCCGTTGGTCCCCCACGATCCTCTTTTTCTTGTGTTAATTGAGAGCTGATTTGATGAGATAACCACCTGTTAGTGACCTTGCAGGGAGGTCTAATCTCCCTGGCCAAACTAGTACATACTCTGCAAAGTGGGTGTGGCTCAATGCTTACCCCCTCCTCCCCCCCCCCCCCCAGCTGAAACTAATAAACCACTTATGCAATAATGTCCTTTCTCAACCCACAGCCCAGAGCATCTGCAAGGTCCTCGGGATGCGCTGCTATCGTCAGGGGCGACTAGGCTCCGCCCTGACCTGGTGCCTGAGGTCGCACGACCCGACCTTTGCGACCTACCTGGCCGATAAGTTCCTGACAGAGTACAGCCTGAAGGGAGGCTTCACTAACATTGATCTCCTGGATAACCTGGGCGCTGGGATGCTGCTCAGTGACAGACTCACATTCCTCGGTGAGTTCTGGGGGGTGTTTCACAAAACTTGCCATCAGTGACAAATGACAGTTGTTGTTATAAGCTACTGAAATCCTTGCTTCTGATTGGTTATCAGCAAATTTGTCACTGATTTTTGTCATTTGTTATTGAAAAAAGGCTTTGTGAAATGGGTCCCATTTGTGATCTGCTTGGTACAAAACCTAAAAGTACATGAAAACATTCATTTTCCATCTCGCTTAGAGTTTGTGAAATTTCACTACTCACTACATGTTTTGAAAAGTGTAATATTTTTAATATTTGAATAGGAAATACCCATGTTACCCTGTTGGTTTAACAATAGAGTATATGTGTAGATATCATTGCAATCTGGGTAGGCCTTCTCAAAAGAAGGGTGTTCAGTTTAGATGTTGACAGTCATTGACAATCAGATTTAATCGTCATCAATCATATTCATGAATATGCATCACTATTTTTAAAAAACCAATTAGGACGCTCTATCTTCTGTAATTTGTGATACACAACAAATGGCGGAGTCGTACAACTGCGACATGATGATGAAGCTGCAATCTTCCATAAATTCAGAGATCTTAATATTTAATTTGTCTGATTCATTTAAAACTTTCTCTTATCTGTATTTGAAATTGTCTGTATTTATTTCTTTATAGGTAAGTATCGTGAATTCCATCGCCTGTATGAGCAGGGAGACTTCAGCGATGCCGGAGCTCTTCTCCTGTCGTTGCTTCGAGCTAGACTGGCCCCAAAACAGTGAGTACATCGTCCAAAGAAACTAGTCGGAGCTTTTCCTTTTACGTTGGTCTCAAATAATCATTTAAGGAAATTATAAATGCAGTCAAGCAGTTGACGCAATAGAGGCCCCTAATCATGAATAACAACAAAAACAACACGAGCAATTAAAGAATAATTCATTTAGATAATGAGAGAAGTGCAGATGTCGGTTTAACGATTGCATTAAGACTTACAGTTAACAATTACTGAAGTATTCATACCCCTAGTGATTATTTATTGTGTTTTACGTAACTCAACAAATCAATTTTCACATACTAAAGAAATGATATAACTTGGGAATTAAGCTTTGAAGACAGATTTGGGCTCTCTTTATGACAAGTGGAAGGCTGTTCCAAATCTTTTGAGCACTGCAACTCATAGCGCAGTCCTCAAGAATTCCTTTTGTTTTAGACCGTGGCACTTTGAGGATCACATTGTGTGGACCAAGTGAGGCAACACGGCCCCTCACCTAATTCTTCCTTTGGGTTGCACAATCTAATTTCGTTTTTTTTATCAGTAAAAATTTATATAATTCAGCTTAAGAGCTTCAAGACTGATTTTCAATATACAGTCAAACCTGGCTATAGCGACCGCCCAAGGGAAACACAAAAAGTGGTATTTGTAGACAGGTTCCTTTAGTACATGTTTTAATGAGAAACCATTTTCAAGGGAAACAAAGAATGTGCTTGTTTTAGACAGGTGGTCACTAAAGCTGATTTGACTGTATTTACCATTAAGTATACCACTAAATAAATTGTTATCTTCCTCAAGGTTTTGGTTGACCCTTCTCACCGATGCTCTACCACTGCTGGAGCTGGACGAGGTAGTCTTCAGCAGCAAACAGACGTATGAGCTGCTCCGATGCCACGAGGAGCTGGAGAGATGGTTCAAATCAGAGGAGTACAAGACACGCATCCTACCAAAGAAGAGCAAGGTCGGTGGTTCAATACTCCTACCTCCGAATTGTACAAAGATGATGATTATAATGAACGTAATTTTATGCATGTAGCTATATTGGTTCAATCAATACAAAATGTTATGCAAAAGTAGCTCGGGATGTTTTGTGGAGTACAAGACATGGATCCTACCAAAGAAGAGCAAGGTCGGTGGTTCAATACTCTCCTACTTTGAATTTTACAAAGATGATGATTATAATGAAAGTAGTTTTATATATGTAGCTTTATTAGTTCAATCAATATACAAAATGAGATGCAAAAGCATCTCAGGTATTTTTGTGTACTGTGATTGCTGCAAGGTTGTGGAACAAGCTACACACCACCCTAAAGACTGCTACATATCTGCGGATCAGTTCCAGAAACTTTTGAAGGTCAACTCACTTTGTTAAAGAGCACGGATTTATATTTTCTCGACCGGTGTTTTTGAAGTGTTATCATCATTGTTGAAGTGCCCTTATATACTATACTACGTTATAGAGCAAATTGTGAAGTGCTATGCAATCGCAAAAAAAAAAAGGCGCGTGGAATTGTAACATGGAATTAATGTCAAGAGTGATGATGAAACTACTTGTGTTTGTTAATTCAAAGGTGCTCTTTCATGATAATGACCAGACCTTGGCAATATATTTGCAAGTGAGCAACATGTACATTTTGGAAATGGCTCAGGGGCCTTGGAATCATTGATGAAAACACCCAGACATTATCTTAACTGTCCCATATTGCAGCAATATTCTTCATGATTTTTGTTGTTGGTTTCTTTTTCCAGGGCCAGTTGGAATTGGAGAAGGAGAAACTAGAACTGCTTCAGCTGGGTCTATCCAGGAACATAGCGCAGGCTTTGCTTAAAGAGGGCTGTGGATCGCTCCAAGGATCATGATAGGGTGTGTCATGAAAAAAATAGTTGAACTGAACCTAGCTCTTGATACATGTATGTTTCAAAAAGGATGTTAGGTGACTCTAAAAAATCATGATGCATAGTGTAAAAAAATACTGAACGAACATTGTGTAGTCTTTGCTTCAAGAGGAAACTGATCGCTGGTGAAAGATGGTGATGCATGATGTCTCATAAAAAACCATGGAACTAAACGTTGCAAAGTCTTCGCTTGAAGAGAGATGTGGATTGCTACAGAGATCTTGATATATGATGTCTCATTAAAACCATGGAGCTGAATGTAGCAAAGTATCTGCTTTAAGAAGGGTTGTGGGTTGTTACTTGCTCCAAAGATGATATATGGTGTCTCATGAAAAGTATGGAACTGAAGATAGCTCACGCTTTGCTTCAAAAGGTATACCAAGGATCGTGGTACATGGTGTGTCATGAAAATCGTTGAACTGCACGCAGCACAAACTCTGCTCCAAGAAAGATTTGGGTCACTTCAAAAATTGGGATATAAGGTGTTTCATGAAAAGTGTTGAACCCAAAACTCTTGCAAGGCACCTTATACCAGAAGAGAATGGTACTCTGTTCATATGCCTGCCTCATGCAGACCAAGAGACAAGAAGCTTACCATTGTCTAGTCAAGAGCATCGTTTGAGTCAAGAAACTTGAGTGCAGAACTATAGGGCATCAAGAATCACAATTTACATTTCTCATTAAAAATTTTGACTTTGAATGAAAAAGATGCTGAAGCAAGGAAAATGGCTCTTCACTATTGGTGATTTAATTTTTGTAATGTATTTTCAGGTCACATGTATTAAAGGTAATACAAAGTTTTGGGAAATTCAGAAAATTGGGTGGGTAGTAATTCTTTACAATTTTGATATTTTTGGATACCCCTATGGATGTATCATAAGCACTAGAAAATTTAGCCCCTAAAATACCCCTGTTTTCGAGAAAAATTGAATATAAAAATTTACTGGTGCTCCCGGTAAATGTTGATAAATTTCAAATAGCTCCTACGGCCTTACAATGGTAGATGGGACCATCAAAATCTCACAATATACGGTTGTGATATATAATTTCCAAACGGGAATAGCTAATCGGTCGATTTTAATCAAGACATATTGTTTTATAGCTTTATTAATAGCTTGACCTTGAGCTGGAGCTTTACAACATAAAGAGTTTATTATTTACAATTTCATAACTTTAGACTCAATTTCAACCGCGACAATGATCACTGAATATTGAAGGATTGCATTTGCTTCCAATATGTTCATTTGAACCAAATCCATGACCCCATACAAAAACTTTGTATTATCTTTAATACGTGTTATCCCATTCATAATGCGAGCAAGCATAGAATATCAAATATCAGAACAAACAAATGTAATTTATATGCATGTATTGTGTTAGAATGCGTATAATATTTGCAGAATGGGGAACTTCTTAAATTGTCAACGACCATACTAACATACATGTAGTAGTAAGAAGTGCCTTGAAATATTTAATAAGATCTGGGGGGTGTTTCACAAAGATCCTAAGTCAAACTTATCTCTAAGTTGGACTTAAAAGTTATGGAAAGCCATTAGCATCCTTGAAAAAGTTATTTTAAAAGGCATAAAATGTTGAATCGAATCTTTCGTATTTTCTATTATCATGGGAGATTTCATGTTCTTGATGTGGAATTCATGGAAAGTCTAAAATACTTGATTTTTCGCTTTTGAATATATTTTATTTTAAGGGTACAAATGGCTCTCCATAACTTTTAAGTTCAACTTAGAGATATGTTCAACTTAGGATCTTTGTGAAACACCCCCTAGGAATGAAAGCTTTGACTGAGGTCCAAACATGTGTAACATTGCTGAAATTGTTACAGGACTACATTTTGTATGAAACAGCTATTTTTCTGTACATTTTGAATGTTATAGAGTACCGAAGCTGTGACGTCCTAAAAATCAATTTTTAGAATTTCTAATTTTTTTCTTCATTTTCCGAAAGAGCATCAAAAATAGTGTCCATATGTCGAAAATCAATTGAATATGTCAAGTATTGGCTGAGATATGACCATCTGAATAAATATATTTCCTATAGGAACTCGGTGTTATTTGCTCTGGCTCCTAATGGTTAGGAGCCAGAGCAAATAAAAAACACTGAGTTCCTTTAGGAACTACACTTCACCACTCTATTGCTGTCTATTAGCCTTTAGCATCAAACCTTCTAGTTTACAAAATTCCAATGTTATCAAACCCTGAATACGTACATGAATACAATTACACATAAAGAAATAGTATGCACTGTTCAAATTATAACATAGTGTTGAAATTTCTTTTGGCAGTAAATGTAATTGCACAGATATTGTCTAATCAAGTTGAATGTTAGCTGTTTGATCAGAAATGTGCATTACCATGTCTTCCCAAAGAAGTAGAATGAGGTAACTACTAATACATTGCAGTATAGGCTACAACAAACTCTATCACATATTCAAATAATTTGAGCTGCACACAATGTAAACTGCCTTTGACAAAGGAAAAACTATGTTGGTCCATTACAAAAACCTCTACACCTTATTTATATGGTAATCGGTTTCCACGTGCAGTGGGTTTCAAAATTCGCTGACACCAGACTTCGTGGAAAAGCACCATGTGGGTGTACAACTCTGCACATAGCAAACCTGTGGTCCCATCAAGAAATATTACCTCATAGTCTCTCGGAGTGTTCTCGGGTGAGGAAAATATAAGATGATTTTTTTTTCTCCCCATAAGGGGGTTTGGTAGAAAATGTAGAGCGTTGCCTAAGCCTATTGGTCATAGAACTGAAGGCTAATCCTGATTCCCGGTGATTGACAACACCTGTTATTAGATAAACACCCGAATGGTGTCAAATTCCCCATGAGAGCCCACTACTATGCGTCTGTAAACATAATATGGTTAGCGAAAGTTCAGTGTATGTCAAACTACAAGGAACAACATAAAATACAATCTATTCCCTTTTAAAACTCGACAGAAACTGAGCTCATACTTGGCATTTGGATCAAATTTACAGTGGAATACAGGCAGAAGACTTCCTTTGAAATATAGTTTCTCTGGTGACCCTTCAAAGTACCTGCACATGTATATCCTCTGAGTGTGAAGTGGTGCTACCCAGGCACTTGTAGGTCCTTACCGTTGGTGGTGTGTGGTCATTAAAGAGGTACCGAGAGTACCAGCTCTTTTTCTGTCTTGTCACTCCAAGAAAATTGAAATTGATATTGAAATATGTTGCTCACATTTTCACTTACTTACATGCAACTGGTTTTATGCAGTGACATACCTTTCCTAATTCAGAACCTGAATAGTGTTGTAATTAATTAAATTAGCTGTTAAATTATTGGTATATTTTGTCTGTCAAGAGCCAGAGGAGCATTGTTTCCACTAATGTTCTTTGGCAAAGACATTAATCTACATTTGCCACACTCGACCCAGGTAAGGTAAATGGGTACCTGGTATGTTATTCCTTGAAATCCACTGTGCCCTTATAGACGTTATATAATGTGATATGGGCTATACAAGAACTGAATATTATTATTATTATTATTATTATAATTTTATGTGATGATAGTAACACCCTCCTGGCTTATAGCAGGTGATATATTATTTATTTTCATTTAGTTTTGCCTTTGATCAATCTTCAACGTTACTCCTTTAAATACTTCTTTACAAAAAGGGTAGTACTCACTTTGCAAACATGTCATTGCTTTATAGCTGATGTGTTCATGCTATGATTGTATACACAATTACACACTTTAATTAATATTGCATGTTGACTACTTTGCAATGTGAACAAAAATCAGCTCCAAATGCATGTACTGTCAATTGTCTGAATAAAGTAAAGAGTTTCAAGATATAACCGCTTGAAGTAAAATAATACAGTTTGTTGATTGTCAAAGTTTAGCCGCAAGTCTGAATTCACTAAGAGAAGATTTTCATGATGTAACCGCTTGAAGTAGAATAATAGCGATTCCATATTGTTGATTGCCGAAGTTTAGCCGCAAGTCTGAATTCATTATGCTTTTCATGAAGGGTGATGTGATTATGCCTACAGGCCATAAGGCTTTCAAAATCTCATTATTTTTGTTCAAACCCTAGCTGCTTTGTGATGATAAAATGTCATTAGGAAGCTGATGACTGATAAAATAAGAATCTTATTTATCATTGTATTGCTGTAAGTTGAATTTCCTTCTGCAGATTACAATTGGTGTGTGAAAGTAGTATGTATAAACGTAGGACCATGCATCTCGGATTTGTAAAACTGGAAACATTGTGAAATAATACCTTTAAGGATCAGATTCCCATTGCTGCAGTACAGGTATGTGGCTCTGTCAAGTAATATGTGCAAAACACTGAATGTTTGTAGAAAAGAACAAATTGAGGGGTCAGTGACACAAAGACGTAACTCCATTTTGAGTGGTTTATGTGCCGCTGAGCACTTTGGCCTTATGGAGTTAAGTCTATGTTTCACTAGCTATTGACTTGGATGGAGTTAAGTCTTTGTGTTTCCTGGAAAGCCCACATTTTTCTGAACATTTTGATATCAAATACCCATTTTGGCAAAATATGGAGTTACGTCTTTGTGTCACTGAACCCTCAAAATGTTAACCCATGAAACACCAGGGGGGTGTTTCACAAAGATCCTAAGGTGAACTTATCTCTAAGTTGGACTTAACAATTATGGAAAGCCGTTAGCATCTATGAAAATATTTTGTTAAAGTTATTTCAAAAGGCATAAAATGTTGATTCAAATCATTCATATTGTCTATTACCAAGGAGATTTCGAAAAGTCTAAAATACTTGTAATTTTTGCTTTTGGAAATATTTAATTTTAAGGCTACAAATGGCTCTCCATAATTTTTAAGTCCAACTTAGAGTTAAGTTTGACTTTAAATCTTTGTGAAACACCCCCCAGGCCTGAGACAACTTGGGTATGATCCCATTGGAAATGCATGTTAAATATAATCGAAATGGACTCCAATGGATTAACCATGTTGACTTGGATGTAGTAGATGTATGTATATTAAAGTCATTTATGTACAAATCTTGAACTGGCGTAATGTTTGTTACTTTGTCTTGAGCTGTAAGTGAGTTAATGATGTGTTCTTTGGAAGAATTGGTACAAATAATTGGGCATAATATGGGTAGAATTGAAAATCAATTTGTAGGTGACATCTGACACCCCATCCCAACCTTTTGGGTCTGTTTGGAGGGCTGTCTGTGGATGCTTAATCCATCAGCTATGGTCGGTTGACAACCTTTCTGTATTAAAACGAGTTAGATGATTTAAGTATTTTCATTCATTCATTCATTTTATTTCCAATTCTCGTAAAAAAGACGTTCAACAATACATTATACATATAAGCAAATATATAAACAATACAAAGAATATGGAGGAACCAGCAGAGGCCATTGGCCTTTCAAAGGCTGGGCTCCAATGGCCGCAGATAATTATACAAAGTAAAGAGAAAAGAAAGAGTGGGTAGTAGGGCTACATATCTTTGAGGGGTCA